ACAGAAATTGACATGGAGGCCGTCACGGGAAACAACGACCAAAATGTGGTTATTGTAACAAATTGGGTCATACTCGTGATGCGTGTTACTCTCTACATGGTAAACCAAATAATGTTCATGCTGCTCAAACTGAATACACTGATAATCCCACCAATCAATTGTTCTCTTTATCTAAGGTAGAATACAATGTCTTTCTTCAGTATCAAACGTGTAAGCAAACATCTTCATCAATAACTTTCGTTGCCCAAGTTGGTAATCATGTTGCTTGTATCTCACAATCCACCACACTTGGCCTTTGGGTTATGGACTTAGGTGCTTCTGACCACATTTCTGGTAACTAATCTTTATTGTCTAATATTACTTACTCTCAGTCCTTTCCCACTGTTACATCAGATAATGGTTCTCAGACCATGGCAACCGGAGTCGATCAAGCCGATCCCTTTTCTTCCAGGACTCTAAATGATATTTTTTTGTCCCTTTAGCCTCTTTTCAATAAGTCATTTGGCTAAGACTTTAAATTGTTTCGTCTTATTATTAGTGGCTTCTTTGTCATGTTGGACCTCAGTACGGGAACGATGATTGACGAAGGGTATGAGTTGGATGGACTTTATTATCTTAATTCTCACAAATCCACTATAGTTTGTTCAATCTCAGACTCTTCATATTTAATCCACAAACAATTGGGACACCCTAGTTTATCCAATCTTCAAAAAATGATACCTAGCGTGTCCAAATTGTCAAAGTTATATTGTGAGTCACATCAATTGGGGAAGCACACTCGAGCTACTTTTCCACGTAGTCCTAATAATCGTGCAGAGTCTCATTTTCATTTAGTTCATTCCAATATTTGGGATCCTACTAGAGTCAATTCTATATTGGGTTTTCAGTATTTTGTTACTTTCATTGATGATTATTCAAGGTGGACTTGGATGCTCTTAATAAAAGATCGTTCTAAATTATTCTCCATATTTCAAACTTTTTGTGCTGAAACAAAACACCAGTTTGGTGTTTTTATTCACATTTTTCGTAATGATAAGGCACATGAATATTTATCATCTCAATTTAAACAATGTATGTCTTCCTATGGAACTCTTCATCAAACTTCTTGTCTTTACGCTACACAGTAAAATGGAATTGTAAAGAGGACAAATATGCATATTATTGAGACTACACACCGTTTTCTCATAGAAGCAAATGTTCCATTGTGATTTTGAGTGGACGCAATGCTCACTTCTTGTTATCTGATTAACCGTCTGCTTTTCTCTACTATTCATAATTATGTACCACACACCGTTTTGTTTTCCAAGTCAATCTCATTCTCTTTTCCACCACACGTTTTTTAGAGCACATGCTTTGTCCATATACTCACTCTAGAGAAAGACAAATTCGCTCTCCATGCTCTTAAATGTGTTTTTCTCAATTATTCTATGGTACAAAAGGGATATCGATGCTTCTTACCTAACCTCTAGTGATACATTATATCAGTTGAAGCTACTTTTTTTTAAGGTTAGACCTACTTTTTATCCTCTTTTGTTGAATATTAGACATTTCTGAGGTTTTACCAGTTCCATCTTTTGGAGATCCTGCCATAGTTTATCCTTCCACATCATCTCTTATGACTCCATCTTCTTCGGCTGCACCTCCACCACTATTAACCTATCATTGTCGTATGCGCCCGAATAATTCACGCCCTCCACCAGAATCCTTGCATACTGATGAGTACTTGTCGATACAGAGTCCTTCTATTGCCACTCGAAAAGGTAATCGCTCTAATCGTAACCCTCATCCTATCTATACTTGTTTGAGCTATCATTGTTTGTCACCGACTTATTCTGTCTTTGTATCATCACTATTATCTGTGTCTATTCCTAATACTACACATGAGACTCTTTCTCATCTAGACTGGCAACAAGCTATGATTGAAGAGGTGTCTGCCTTACACTCTAGTGGTACTTAAGAGCTTGTTCCTTTACCTCCAAATAAATATACAGTTGCTTGTCGGTGGGTATATACAGTGAAGGTTGGACCCGATGGACAGATTGATCACCTAAAAGCTCGACTAGTGGCCAAGGGTTATACACAGATTTTTGGTCTTGACTGTGGTGATACTTTCTCTCCTGTGGCCAAGATTGCTTCAGTTCGTCTCTTTTATCCATGGTTGTGGTTCGTCATTGGCCTCTCTACTAATTGGATATTAAAAATGTTTTTCTTCATGGAGATCTAAAAAAAATAAGGTATATATATGGAGTAACCACCTGATTTTGTTGCTCAGGGGGAGTCTAATAACATAGTGCTACGATAAGCATTTTTATGGCTTGGAGCAATCTCCCCGATCATGGTTTGGGAAGTTTAGCATGGTTATTCATGAGTTTGGCATGATGCAAAGTGAAGCTGATCATTCTGTGTTCTATTGTCACTCTGCTTCAGGTTTGTGCATGTATTTGGTAATGTATGTTGATGGCATAGTTATCGCAGACAATGATGATGAGGGAATTACCAAATTGAAACATCACATTTTCCAACACTTTTCGACGAATGATCTTGGTCGATTGAGGTACTTCTTAGGTATTGAGGTTGCCCAATCCAAATCAAGAATTGCCATTTCACAAGAAAGTATGCACTTGATATTCTTGAAGAGACAGGGATGCCAGATTGTAGGACTATTGATTCTCCAATAGATTCAAATGTTAAGCTCCTACTAGCTTAGGGGAAGAATCTTAGTGATCCAGGAAGATATAAAAAGATGGTAGAAAAGTTAAAATATCTCACAGTGACTCGACCTGATATTACCTTCTGGTTAGTGTTGTAAGTCAGTTCTTGAATTCTCCTTGTGATAGTTATTAGAATGCAGTTATTCGCATTCTTTGATATATAAAATCTGCTCCAGGGAAATGACTTATTTACGAAAACCGAGGACATGAGAAAATTATTGGATATTCAGATGTAGATTAGGCAGGGTCACCTTCTGATAGATGATTCACTTCTGGATATTGTGTTCTAGTTGGGGGAAATTTGGTATCTTGGAAAAGTAAGAAAAAAAATATGATTGCTAGATCTAGTGCAAAAGCAGAATATCAGGCTATGACAGTGACATGTGAACTCATATGGATAAAGCAAGTATTGAAGAAGTTGAAATTTGGAGATACTAAAGGAATGAAACTTGTGTGCGATAATCAAGTTGCACTTCACATTTCATCGAATCCAGTATTTCACGAGAGGACCAAACATATAGAGATTGATTTTCATTTGTTAGAGGAAATGTACTTTCATGAGACATTGTCACAAGGTTCGTGCAGTCAAGTGATCAGTTTATCGACATATTCACCAAGTCCCTAGCAGGTCCCGAAACAAGTTATATATGTAACAAGCTTGGTACATATAATTTGTATGCACCAGCTTGAGGGGGAGTGATAGAATCCTAGGAATATTTTTTATAGCATATGTGTAAATATAGTAGGTAGCTTGATCTACTCCTAGATTTACTCTAGCTTGATTTGATATTGATTAGGTATCGATTTCCTTTCCTTTTTAGGACATGTATACTTAGCTCTTTAAACCCCAATAGCTTCTGAACATAATCAAGCTGAGTTCTCTATCAAATTCTTGTCTTCTCACAAAAACAAATCCCTATTTTTAATGTCTTTTCATATAGGGACAAGGCACTAGTAGCCCCTTAGACTATGACCGAAATTCCAGAGACACATCTTAACTAAACTAAGGTCCTATTACCCCCTGAACTCATATTTTTGTAATTTTATACACCTTTTGGCTTACGTGGCACACTCCGTGACTCCACACAATTGAGGTGCGTGGGAGATATTTGGATATCGCATAAGCCAAAAAGGTGTACAAAATTATAAAAAATGGATTCAGAGGGTAATAGGACCTTAGTTTGGTTAAGACGTCTTTTTGTGATTTCGGTCATAATCTAGGGGGGTACTTGTACCTTTTCCCTTTTATATATTTTAAAAATCATTTCACTTGCATATTGAAAAGGCAATTTACATAAATAATATATTATATAACATTATTTACGAATTATAACATATCTTTTACTCTTACACAAATTAGCCTTACTTTTCTTATCACAAATAGCATCAACCAACAGGGAACTAGCGGTCCACATATCTTAAGTCTTAACATAAGCCCAATGTGTTTATCTGAACATTCAAAATGTATTATATAATACATTAAAAATAATTAACATATCTTTAAAATAAAAGGCCAATTCATTTTAAAAAATAATACATTTTTAACATATCTTAATAATAATTCTAATTATTTTTGAAATTTAAATATAATACATTTTTAACATCACTAATGAGAGAAAAAAATATACTTGTAATACAATTTGAATTTAATATTTTCCTATATATAGGATATTATAGGTATATTTAATGCACACGGTGAATATGTAACTAAAACATTTTTAATACAAATATATATAAGTATTATATGTGAATTTCAAACATTCCGGTACTATTTAAATTAGTTTACATTAGAAATGTATTATATTTGTTCTGAAATAATAACTATTGAATTTATAGTAATGTATAATATTGAATTGTATTATAACTATCGTTTGTATTTATACAATTTTAATACAACTTTAATACAATTTTAATACAGATTTTCAGAGCTTCACCTCTTCTTTTTCATAATTACCACCACCAGACCACTGATTGTTTATATTTAATACAGTTTTGATACAACTTTAATACAATTTTTCAGAACTTCACCTAATATATATTTATACAATTTTAATATAACTTTAATACAAATTTATATTAAATGGTTATTAAAGATGAAATTATATCATATATGGTAATAAAAATAAAGTAACATTTAAAAACGTAATTAATCAAATAAAAAATATTATTTATGTAAAAATTTCAATTAAAAATTAAAATAACACACATAGATTAAGGACCATTTTGGTGTTTTTCACAAATTTTTACAGCCCAAAGATGGAATAAATTGCTCGGCGGGAGGATAATAAAACTGCTGTGCCCAGTAGCGCCTGGGTGTGAAGTGTCTACAATGGCTGTGTGCACTTCCTCTTTCTTATCTTCTACTTCTTCTTCTTCATGCCCCTCATTGTGCTTTGGTTTCAATCCTCTTTTCTTCTCCTCCGCAAGTCGTCGTCGTCGTTCTACTCTACCACTCTCCTGTTCTCGTCTCAGAGGTTATCGCTTCTTCGCCAGTAAGTCTCCTCTCTAAATGCCCCTCTCCTTTTCTACTTACCGAAAATGCATCGGATTTGAATTGGTTTTAGGGTTCTGCTACCTAATTATGTTTTTATGAATGCAGTTTCTGCGGAAGCAGAAAGCACTGCTATCTTTAATTCACCCGAAGTTGCAAAGTCATTTGATTTCAGTAATGAAGAACGTATATATAAATGGTAATATGAAATTTCCATGAGTTCAGTTCTGTTATGTTGTTGAATTCTTTGTTTGTTTGTTTTATTTCTGGAGTGTCTGATAAGTTCAAAATACGAAGAGGGTTCAATTTCTACTATATATACATAAAAAATTGTTTTAACCGTGTCTAAACAGTGTAATTTTCCACTGAAGGGGGTTCGGATGACCCCTGAGCCCTTACTAGCTCTGCCCTTGAATGTCAGTTATAGAAAAAATCTGTTCAGTAGAAAAAGTTTATTGTTTCTACCTTGAACCAAAGGACCTATGAACTTTTCAACTTTAAGGTCTTGCAGTTTTTGGTATACTTAGCTATTCAACATTAACATGAATTGACTATACTTGGAGTGACTCATGTGATTTCACGTCACATTTAAATGATCACCTTCTAATTATTCACTATCTACAAAATACTAATAAGTGAAATTGTTGATATTTAGGTGGGAGTCTCAAGGATATTTCAAACCAAACATTGTCAAAGGGAGTGATCCTTTTGTCATTCCGATGCCACCACCTAATGTTACCGGCTCGCTGCACATGGGCCACGCTATGTTTGTGACACTTGAGGTTGCATTCAGTATTAAATGAATGAAATTCTATGTATGCTCTTATTACAGTTCTTTTTGATCTTCTCCAGCTTATTCTTTTGAATGTCTTTCTTGAGTTATACGAGTTCATCATTCAATATATCTAGTAATTATAGTCTAACTCTCACTTGCTACTCTATTCTCCTATTATTGAGCACAAAGCTAAAAGTAAAGTTGAATTACATGATAGCTTACAATAAATATGCTGTGTCTTATCTTTGCATTATTAAAAATCATTTCTGGAAAATGACTAAGCCAGGAGTAATGGGGCTGTAAAGTGGAGCAGCTAGCATTTAGCTATTTAGGATTGGCTCTGGGTGCTAAAAAGAATGACAAGAAGATGTGGGAAGGTGTCTTGGACAAGTGCAACAGTAAATTGGTTCCATGGAAAAGACAGTATTTGTCTTTTGGGGAAAGACTTACATTTGTTAATAGTGGTTTAGATGGTATTCCAACCTATCTAATTTCTGTCCTCAGAATGCCAACAAAAAATGAGAAGAAACTAAATTCTTTGAGGAATAACTTTTTCTGGGAAGGAAATGCTGATAAGGGGAAGTTTCATTTGGTCAAATGGCAGGAAGTGATGAAGGAAAAGTAAAATGGGGGCCTGGGAATGAGGAAGCTGAAGCTGCATAATAAATTTGGAGATACAATCATGGCAATTAAAGCTTATGGAAACAAGTTATAGATGCAAATTATGGTAAGAGAGATAGTTAGGTTCCTTGTTTAATCCAATCTTCTTCTAAAGGCAGAGTTTGGAGTATTATCAGTATATACGGGGTGAGTATAAGCAGCATGTTAAACTGAAATTGGGGATGGTACTAAAATCTTGTTTTGGTCTGATATATGGTTGGGGATTGAAAGTTTAAAAGAGAAGTTTCCAGTTTTATATAGCTGCTCCACAAACAAAAATGGGAAGGACTCTGATTTTTACTCTAGTAATGTCTGGAGGTTGATTTTCAAAAGAGGCCTAAATTATTTGGAGGTAGGCGAATTTGTCCAATTAATGTAACTGTTGGAATCTTTGTGAATATTGTAGCATATATTAAAATATAGAAGGTAGCTTATTTTACTCCTATTGTAATTAGGTATCGATTTGTACTGATCTCCTTTCCTTGTTAGGACCTGAAGACATAGCTATTTTAAACTCCAAAAGCTTAAGGGAGTAATCAAGCAGAGTTTTCTCTCAAACTCTTTCTTTTTCACATAGTATCATAACTTTTGTTTTTTTGTGAGAAAACAGCAAAACCACTACTATTCCGCAATTCCGTGACTCTCCTGGGGTACTGTGCATATACCAGTAGCACCATTACAATTGGAGTCCTTGCGCGAAGCTACCTTCAAATTCCGCTGCTATAGGGTTACTCACATGCTCTCACGCACCACTCTTAGATCCAGATAATTGGTGTCAGGCGCTCCACGTGCCCACATATATTTTTTTCCAGTAGGGTCTCCCCATAATTTTTACCCTACCATATAGAGGTTTGGCCCAGTTCGGACCTTGGCTCCCCATGAAGTGGTTTGACTCGCATTCACATATATGGTGGTTGACTCTATCTAAGTCAGATACTTGAAATCCCCATAAGGAAGCTTGCTTGTATGTCTTTTCTCACGAGTGTCCTGACCTACAGGCGTGCCCAGCCTTTGCTTGGCATCAGCTTTGCATAGAGCTTACTCTTGGAGATTGCTTTACCCCGTGATGGTAGGCACATAACATATTAGCGGTTGTTTCTGTGACACTCGTGCCAACAGCCCCACTAGCCTGGCCTCACTAAACTTATTCCCACATGGTAGTTAAGTGTCTTTCTTTCTTTCTGTTCATCTGAGCTCTTAACATGAATAGGTATTTCTCACTGTGCTCTTTGACAAGATTTGTTCCTGCTCTAGTTCCAAGTTTATAGTACATGGCTCACAGCTCACCATAACACTGTTGCTTGACCTGGAAAGGTGGCCTTTTCTGACCACTTGGCTTACCGACATGTCCCAATTCTCAATTGAATTTCAGATTGTTCAGAAAGAAAATTGTGTTACCAATTTCACCTCATTAAGTTGGGCAACAACTTTGGATCAATGCATAACATGAACGAAACATCTTGACCTGATTATCTGATGCAACTGAATTAATGAATCTTCTTTGCTCGAGTTATGCAAGTACCTGGCACCACATCCACAATCTCCACCAGACAATTTAGCCAAGTTCATGTCTTGCTGAACAAAGCTATCAGTCCACTGCTGACAGAATGTGACATATTGAATGATAATTGCATTGAGACAACGGGTGCTATAGCTACGCATATGCCTAATCTTATAATATCATACCAATAGCGTAGCATATGGCACTACAACTAACCAAACATGCTTCAATCAATTCCTTCTAAAAATGCATCCTCTGTTTAGAAGACATCCCTAAGGATAGGTCAATCCAAAGAGGATGCCCGAAAATCAACTGGTAAAATATAGATGAAGACATAAATAACTATTGTGAAGTGACATGATTCTGAAAGTTGTAATCCATGGATAGAAAGAGAAGTCTTTTTGGATTATCATGTCACACAATTTAACGGGGAGGAATCACACAATGTACTCTTGATTACTATTGGTCTATTACTTTGTCATATTTCAGCTTACAAAGTGATCATCATATCTGTTAGTTGATTTATCCAGGTTTTCTAAATTACTTCATTTCTGTCGTCTCCTTTGTCAGGATATCATGATACGATATAACCGTATGAAGGGAAGACCTACCCTTTGGCTTCCTGGAACAGATCATGCTGGTATTGCAACTCAGGTTCCCTCTACATCCAAAACTTTACTACTTTTCTCAACTACATCTCATTTTAGAGTTGATCTTATATTGCTTGCCATCCATCCATTATACGTTTTGGTTTCATTCAATTTTGATGAAAATTTTTACTTTCATGAACCATTTTGAGTATCCAAGAGCTTTCACTGCGAGCTAGTTGAGTTTGAGCTGTTTTCCAGTGTTATCTTTGTGCAAATGCACATAGAATGAAAGTTATTTTTTCTTGTTTTGGTGCACGGAACTGTGATCACCAATGTGAGAAATCTACCTTGATACTTCAGATGCTGATATTAGTTACGGAGTGTTGATGTGTAGCTTAGGTGTTCCATCATGTACTTCCTCAAATATGTCTGCAGTTTCTTTCTATGCTGCAGGTTATTTGGTAGTCCTATTTCTTTCTCAAACTTGTGGGAGTACATTATCAGTTTAACTTGTGTAATTGGCTCTGCGTGTCATTTGTCCTTTTTATTTTTAAAAATGATCTAAACTATCAAAGTTGTTATTTTGCTTGGGTGTGCAAAACTGAATACCTCTTCTTTTTATTTTCTATGTTTTCCAGTTGGTTGTGGAGAGAATGCTAGCTACAGATGGAGTAAAAAGGGCTGATTTGGGTAGAGATGAGTTCACAAAACGAGTATGGGAATGGAAACAGAAGTATATCTACTTCTTATTTAAGCTATATATTGATTAAATTCTGCTGTGCTACATGATTTATGGTCATAAAGCGTTTTCTTGGATATGCTAACTGATCAAAAAAGATAGAGAGTCTTTTTCACCTACATGTCATTTTCTTAGGGATCTCTCAAGCTACTTATGAAACTTTATCTATTCATTCTTTTTAATGGAATAACGATAGTTTTATTAAAAACATCCAGAAAATGCAGAAAGTTCTGTTACCTATTCATTTAGATGATTAAACATATTATTTTGAATGATTACCATTCTGGCTATCAGCAAACCTCACAAGTAAGAAAAAAATAACAAACACCATGAAAAGGTAAAGTACCAAGATCTTCTTCTTTTTCTTTGATTATTAAGTACCACAATTTCCTTGTTGGATAGAGTAATCTATTTAGCATTTATTGTTCAATGTCCCTGTACTAACAACCTCCTCTCCACTAACATGAATATTTTAATTTCTAATTAGAAAATAAATGAAATGAAAGAAGTAAATAATATTTTTCACAAGTTCTGCAACCATTGAGCAGTAGACTAGAAACGGGAAAATTTCGCCTGAAATTTTTTAACATAGAAATTTCCTTATTATTCTCTGTTCTGTTAATATGTCAATGAGTTGAGCTTTGATGCTCTAAATAGTGTTGAAGACCTAAAACAATAGAAATGTATAAGACACCTCCAATCTGTAAAATAAAAAATAGAAACGTGACACTAATTTAGTTCTTGGATGAAAGAACTTCTTTCTTATGCTTCGTCAGTTTTATTTTATGTGACACTCTTTTCTTTTTTTGTTTGTTCCAATAAGATGACATCTTTCTATATTTCGAAGTAACTTTACTTTAAATTTTCGATTTTTATCGTAAATGATATGCTTTTATAACCGTACGAAAGAGACTGTAATGATATAATGTCCTTTCTACTGCTCCTATTTCTAATTTATTTGATCTTTTTTATCCTTCTAATGATATATTGCCCTTGTCCATCTTTCCCATTGCTTTTTCAATATTTTCTTTTCAATCTAAGAAGAACGGCTTATTTTATTCTCTTTTATTACTTAGGTATGGTGGAACAATTACTAACCAGATAAAGAGACTTGGTGCTTCCTGTGATTGGACCAGAGAACATTTTACCCTTGATGAACAGCTGAGTAGTAAGACAACCTTCCCATTCAGTAAAAGTCCCATCAACTCTGTTTTGCGAACTTGTCTACAGGATATAAATATCAACTCTCTAGGATAGCAAACTATGAATTCTCTAAGTGGCTTATCAGTTCATTTGTCTTTTACTTTGTCATCGTACGTACTGTTTTTTCGATAATAGTATATTGCATCCAAATGTACCTGGTCCTGCGTCCAGATATAGATGAGCTAATACTTGTCCAGTGATAAAATGTGCATTATTTCTTGTTTATCATATGTATACATATATCATCCATTTGTATAACAGGAGTCTAATTTAAAAATTCAATTGTTGCAGGGGCTGTAGTTGAAGCATTTATAAGGCTTCATGAAAAAGGGTTAATATATCAGGGTACACACTACTCCCTCCCCAAAAGTTTGTATGTTTTTAGTAAGTAAAAGATAGAGACTGTTGCTTGATTAAATGAGCTATTCTGGCGAACTCATAGCCTTGAAGAAAGTAGACTTACCTGGAGAACTTCTAGATTTTCATTTTCCAAGAGTAGTACTGCCCCTTTTTATACTATGACTTTTAGGTTTTATATTTTTCTTTTGGTTGAGGGTTGTGGGTGGGGGAGAGAATATGGTAGCTCCTCCGGGATAGAGTATGCTTTTCCTTTTATTTCCTTTTGGATCGTCTTTTGAATAGATCTTGTGTTTTTTTATGACAACCAGAAGTTAATCATATCAAAGATGAAGTTACTTTACGAACAGAAAAAAGATTCTCTTGGCTGCAAGAAAGATAAAGGAAGGATGTGGGGAGCTAACATCTGGGGTATATGGATGAAAAATGAACATAAAATTTCTGCTTGACTGTTTCGATAAGAATTGTTTAATCCTTACATTATAGGCTTTCCTAATATTGTTGCTAAAGGATAGCTGTGGGTGGAGACAGCTTCAACATTCTGCAGCATACACAATTGTTAAGCATTTCTTTCTTTGTTGAATGTTGACAACTTAATATATTCCTGTTCCTGTACTTTTATTTGATCTTAGAAGCAAAAATGCTACACTGTAGAACTCAAATGTGAAATACTTCTACATATAGTTAAAAGTATTTGGAGCTTTCTTTATAAGCATGAAACTGGATGACATGCATATCTAATTTAAGGACTGACATTTCATTGGTTCTCTTCACATAGCATAAGTAGAGCTGTTGATAAACCCTTCAGAGTGAAATGGCATTTGAGCTGCACCTATTTAATCAAATACTGGACATAAACCACCGATAGTCTTCCTGCAATATGCGTGCTAGTAAACCTAAGCATTCTTCTGGATGTCAACTTTCACCTAAATTCATTAGCTTTCTCATTGGAAATTTGCAGGATCTTATATGGTTAATTGGTCTCCTAATTTGCAGACTGCAGTTTCAGACTTGGTATGATATTTATTGAGTTGGAAATATGCTTCTCTTGTTAATTAGTGGTCAATCTCATTGGTTAAAGTCAATTGCTTTTCCACCTCAGGAAGTAGAGTATTCTGAAGAACCTGGTTCACTTTATTACATCAAGTATCGTGTTGCTGGAGGTTCAAGGTAAAGACATTGCACTTGCAGCTAATTACTTGTATTTTCTTCTTTACTTTAATTTAGTGTTTTAAACTACTCCCTCCCTTCTAATTTATGTGGCATAGTTTGAATAGGCACGAGATTTAAGAAAGAAATGATGGCTTTTGAAACTTGTGGGTCTCAAACATAGCAAAAGATTTGTGACTATAAAATTGTGAAACTTGTGCCCTTGAGCATATCAAAACATTTGTGTGGCTATACAAACATCTCATTAACGGTAAAATGAGAAGTATAAGGGTAATTGTTTTCAAATATAGAAATGTATCACTCTTTTTGAAATTAACTACTAAGGAAATCACAAAAACTGAAATGGAGTGACTAGTCATTTAAGTGATCGTTGAAATGGTACTTTCACCATTCAAGTAGCTTCAATTATCTTTATACCTTTGGTCTTGCTGCGGCTAAGAAGGGTTCTCTTTTACAATAAGTTGCCTCAATCCATGTCCTAGATTTGTTTGTTTGTTGGAGCCACAATCAAATCTAGCTAGTTCACTTAAAAGAAATTGGCATGATCAAGCCTCTTTTGGTTTTGGCGCAATATATATTAAGAAAATTTTTGTATTTCAAAAAACTATTATTTGGTGTTTGATTGACTAAAACTAAGGAAAATATTTTCCTCAAGGAAATATTTTACAGCAAATGCGGAAACAACTTACTCCTTTTTCAGAGGCATCTCCATGCTGTTCTTACTTCATGTCATTTTGATACTAATATCACTTAGGAGCTAAGAAAAAGAAGAAGAGTAGCTAAAAAAAAAGAAGGAAATTCTAGAGCAAGTAAATAAGCAATTCTTTCATAACTTGGAAAAGAGAGAAGCAGTACAATATATAGGAATCAGATGGGGACTAGTGGGGACCAATCCTGGACACATGTCCTTCTTCCACTCACTACTTTGACCTCTGTAACTTACTCATAATGAAAACTAATTCCTCCTGATAGTAACAAGCATTAGGGGGAATGTGTAAATACTAAAACTATATATAAAGATAACTGAGGGGTAGAAACAGAGTTATCTTAATTAATGCAACTCATTCCTAACGGAATTAACTGTCTCAACACCCTCTTGAGACTCTCAAAAGCATCTGTAGCTTTGCTGGACCAGTTAAAGTTATCCTTTTTTAACAAGTCCGTGAGGGGCTTGCTAATAACTCCATAGCCTTTTATAAACCTCCTATAGTAACCAGCTAACCCAAGGAAATCTCTCAATTGCTTGAGGTTAGTCGGTTCAGGCCAAGATTGGACAGCTTCCACCTTCTTAGGATCTGTAGCCACTCCATCAACAGAAATATAATGACCTAAGTATTCCACCTTCTTAGCTGCAAAGACACACTTGCTTTCCTTGGCAAAAAGTTGGTGTTGGACTAATAATTCAAAGGTGGTCCTCAAATGGTCTACATGCTCCTCCAAAGTCCTACTAAACACCAGTATATCATCAAAAAACACAAGGATGAACTTCCTCAAGTGTTTTTGAAAAATATGATTCATGAGACCCTGGAAACTTGAGGGTGTATTCGTCAATCTGAATGGCATGACCAAATATTCATTCCTGTATGTGTTTTAAAGGCAGTTTTATGCACATCAGTAGGAGCCATCCTAATTTGATGATATCCTGCCCTTAAATCAGTTTTAGTGTATACTTGGGACCCCCCCCCAATTCCTCCAACAGTTCTTCAATGATGGGTATTGGAAATTTATCTTTTATAGTCACCTTATTCAAAGCCCAAGAACCATCTTTCTTACTCACTAACACCACAGGTGAGGCATAAGAACTAGAGCTATATTGAATAATACCTTAATCCAGCATCTCTTGGACCATAGTTTCAATCATATCTTTCTGAATTGGTGAATATCTGTATGGTCTGGAATTCACTGGTCACTGGTTGACTGCCTGTTGTCAAAGGAATGTGGTGATCAAAGACCCCTCTTGAAGGAGGCAATTCACTTGGCTCCCTGAATAGTTTCTTGTATTCCTCCAGTAGTGCTTGAACCTCCTTGGGCTTCTCCTCTCTATCTTGTAAACATTCTTCTCTTGGCATCCCAGCCATACACACCTTGATCATAAAGATTTGTGCAGTGTCCATAGTGATTTTGTTGAATTCCTTACAATCCACAGTTTTAAATGTTGGATGAGCACCCTGCAAGGTTATGGGCTTACCTTCGTACTCAAACTTCATCAGAAGCTTCCCAAAGTTCATTTGTATGTCTCCAAGTTTTCACAACCATTGGATACCCAACACAACATCACAACTTCCTATTGGCAATACTAGGAAGTCATCTTGGAACATGGTGCCCTGCATAATCCATTTGAACTTTTTTGCTTCCCTTAACAGATTGAATTACCCTCCCATCTGCTACTGAGACATCCTGTGGGATAATGTCATGGAACTGACAACCTAATCTCCTAGCAGCCTTCTCATTGATGAAATTGTGGGTGGAACCACAATCAATGAGGACAGTGATAGGCTTCTTCTCAGTGTACCCCTGGATCCTCGAGGTTTTGTACCCTCTAGTCCCATTCAAGGCTTGGAGAGATATTTCACAATTCTCCATGACCTCTTCTTCATCTAAGAGTAATTCTGCCTCGTCTACTCCTTCCTCCTCTTGTGTCAACTCTGCTGAATCATCTGCTTCTAGCTCCAGGGAATACAATTGCCTCTTGGCTTTACATTTCTGGCCCAAACTATATTTTTCATCACAGAAAAAACACAACCCATTGGATCTCTTTTCGTCCATTTCAGCAGGGGTCAACCTTCTCCTTCTGTTAGTGTCAAACTTGGCAACATTGGAATTTTGGAAACTAGACCCCTGACCCTTAGCTCTAGTACTGTCACTATAACCTGGAGAACCCCTAAGGTCAGTGTTAGAACTCTTCATTGCCTTGCTCTGAGTAGCAAAATTAGACTCATGAAGTCTAGCTAGATAATAGGCTTGGGGTAAAGATCCTGGGTTTCCAATCCTTACTGCACCCCTGAGTTCAGGTTTTAGATTGTTTAGGAAAATGCTAACAACATGCTCTACTGAAAGATTTATCCTAGTCATGACACTGTCAAAAGCCTTTTGATTATCTTTAACTAAACCAGTATGCTTGATATTCATTATCTCAGTCATGGGATCTGAGTACTCAACTCCAAATCTGTCCGCCAAAGCATATACATATTCTTCCCAACTAGGAGGAGGTGTCTGACCTCTGTTTCTCATGTATCCTTGATGCCATTGCAATGCATCTCCATCAAAGTGAATGGCCACTAGTTTCATTCTCTGATGGATAGGTATCTCTTCCATAGAGAAAAATTGCTCCACCTTATACAACCAAGTTCTTAGGTCCTCTCCATTAAACTTTGGGAACTCTATTTTGGTATATTTGGTAAAAGTAGGCAGGGGAATATTGGAATGAAAATTGTTTTGGTGAGGGGCAAAAGGCATGGGTTGAAATTGTTGAGTCATGGGATGTGTATGACAAACAAAAAGAGCATGGTGGTAAATTGGTGAATTTGAGTGTTCTGAGCATAGGACTGATTTTGGCTGTATGATGTGGTGGTGTTTGGTACATGAGAAAATGGGGTTTGAAGATGTGGCTTAGGAAATTGGAGTGCTGGTGTGGGTGAGAATTGAGAAGGAAACACAGGTATGGGGACAGTTTGGGTCTGGAAAGGGGAAGGGTGGCTTAAGGGATTTTGAGCAGTCTGAATATAGGATGTGTGAGTGGGTACGCTAGAGGAAGCTGGTATGGTTGATACCGGCAGGGGTGGAACTTGAATTTGCTGACTTGGGTGAATATAAAGTGAAGGTTGTCTTACTGGATGTGAGGGTGAAGAATTTCCCAATCGTGAGGAAGAATTTTCCAAACGCAGTGGCAAATCTGAAGGTGAGTATAGCTCCTCCTCCAGCTGGATCACACTCTTATCTCTTTTTGGTCTCCTTCCACTATGTACAGCTTCACTAAGCTCTTTCAGGGATTTCTCTTGATTCCTGGCTGCCATTTCTTGATTAGCTTCTAGTTGGTCCTGTCTGCTGGCAAAATTGGCCATGTCGAGTGACATATTTTCCAGTACACTTAGTACTTCTTGTATCTCATTCACCATCGAGCTTTCCACAGAGCCAGAAAAGAGCTCTGATACCACTGATACTAATATCACTTAGGAGCCAAGAAAAAGAAGAAGAGTAGCTAAAAAGAAGGAAATTCTAGAGCAAGTAAATAAGCAATTCTTTCATAACTTGGAAAAGAGAGAAGCAATACGATATACAGGATGGGGACCAATCCTGGACACATGTCCTTCTTCCACTCACTACTCTCTGACCTCTGTAACTTGCTCATAATGAAAACTAATTCCTCCTGATAGTAACAAGCATTAGGGGAACGTGTAAATACTAAAACTATATATAAAGATAACTGAGGGGTAGAAACAGAATTATCTTAACTCATGCAACTCATTCCTAACAGAATTAACTGTCTGTTCATACTCTATTTAAAGCTAAGTGTACCACTCCTTAATGCTAGCAATTTCCCTTTGTATCACATTTGCTTCTATCAACATGGGAACATCATTACCAATGTTAGGTATTAGCTACTTATTCTTTTGAGATAAGGGTAACTTTGTATTCACTAAAAATTCATCATCCAAGGGATGCTGAATTGGAAACTTACATCCCATAGGGTGGTGGGCACACCCTCAGAAAGACATACAGAATTACAAGTTTCCTATAAAATCAACCATCTCTATGCTTTCCCCTACCAACTCTTGCTTACACCACCAATGTTAGCTACTTATTATCCTCGTTCAAACAACAAGTAGATGCACAACCAATTAAACTTGGTAGAAGGTTTTATGAAATGGCTCTCTTTTGTATAACATTTTCCAGTTAACTTTTCAGAGCCTTATGGTGTAAATGGCTCTCTTCTGTATAACATTTCCGGTAACTATTCCTATTCTAAATAGGATTGTATAAATTTATTCCTATTCTAATAGAATTGTGTAAACCTATTCCTATTCTAATAGGAATGTATAAACCTATTCCTATTCTAACACTCCCCCTCAAGCTAGTGCATACAATTCATGTACTTAGCTTGTTACATATGTAATTAATACGAGGACCAATGAGGGGCTTGGTGAGATATCTGCAAGTTGATCAGTCGACTTCACAAAATTGACTGTCAATCTCAATGTGCTTGTCTTTAAATACATAATGTCAGTCAATCTCAATGTGCTTAATCTTCTCATGAAATACTGAATTGATGCATAATGCCGATAAAACACAGAGTGATAAAATTATAGTGTTGAACTTCCCAAACCAAACTTGCAAAGACTGTTTCAGACCATAGACACATAATCGACATACAAGGCTACTAAACTCCCCCTAGCAACAAAGTGCTCAAAATCTAGTATAAAGTATATGGATCATGTTGGAATCAATAGATGAGTCGATATTAAACAAGTCACCGAAAAACTAGCCAGAACATGCTCATATGCCGGAGTATTAGATTTGATGGCTAAAAGTGGTCATAATCTAAGAAATAAAATTATATGGGTAGGGTCGGAATGATGTCACAACCCAACTAGAAAATAGAAATTATATAGGATAGTTCGAATTGATGGACCGACCCCATTGAAAAAGTGAAATAATATGGGTATGGTCGGAATGATGGCACGACCCTACTGAAAAAGAAAAATTATATGGGTAGGGTTGGAATGATGGCACAACCCTACGCAAATCAAATTTGAGGAGTCACCGGAAAGACGAATGGAACTATGCAAATCAAATCTGAGGAGTCACTGAAAAGACACATGATGCTATGCAACTCAGACTTGAGAAAATAGTTCGAAAAAATCCACGGTACTACACAAATTAAATATGAAAAGTAGTCCGGAGAGATGCACGGTGCTACGCAAATCAGATATGCAAAAAAAGGTAGTCACCAGAGAGATGGCACGATGCTACACAAATTATATATGAAAAAATAGTTACCGGTGACCCTACTGAAAAAGAAAAATTATATGGGTAGGGTTGGAATGATGGCACAACCCTACGCAAATCAAATTTGAGGAGTCACCGGAAAGACGAATGGAACTATGCAAATCAAATCTGAGGAGTCACTGAAAAGACACATGATGCTATGCAACTCAGACTTGAGAAAGTAGTTCGAAAAAATCCACGGTACTACACAAATTAAATATGAAAAGTAGTCCGGAGAGATGCACGGTGCTACGCAAATCAGATATGCAAAAAAAGGTAGTCACCAGAGAGATGGCACGATGCTACACAAATTATATATGAAAAAATAGTCACATGAAAGATAAATTGTGACCCAACTTTTGCTAACATAATCATTGGCCAGACGGGCAGCATATATGGGTGCCACCCGCCAGCAACGGAAACTCTTTGATTTTCTACCAAGATCGTAGAGGCTCTGATACCATGTGAGAAATATAAGGAGAGAATATTATTGAATTATTGTTGTGTCTACATTATTACATTGAGATCCTATTTATAGACACTAGAATATAATCCTTTACCAAGTAGGATACTATTTACTATTCCTATTCTAAATTTGATTGTATAAACCTATTCATATTCTAATAGGATTGTGTAAATCTATTCCTATTCTAATAGGAATGTATAAACCTATTCTTATTCTAACAAGGTATTCACTCCGACACAAGTGAAAAAGCTGTGTTGCTTGATGTATCATTTGCTCACCAAATATAACAAAAGTCGACACACTTTTAAGGTTATTGATAGCGTGCTTTTCAATTTATAACTGCTTGCTGTGAACCTTAATTGTAGTTGAAATTTTAATTTCTTATCAGCCAAGCTCTGTGCTTATTTTCTTTACTCTTGGGCTTCGGCGCTGTAGCTTATAAAAGGCTTATCCTGTTAGTTGCCTTACTACAAATGTAATTTTTTTGTCAATGTTCTAATTTGGTTATCTAATTATTTTTTCTTAAAATTTGTTGGGGCAGGAGTGACTTTTTGACAATTGCAACCACACGCCCAGAGACTTTATTTGGTGATACTGCCATTGCTGTTAATCCTCAGGTATATCTCCCTAGACTTTATCCATTCAAAATAGGTTATTTCAAAAGAGAGAATTTTTTTATATGACAATATTTGGTTGAATATGGGGTTTTAACAAGTTAATTTGATTTATATATTAGAAGAAAATATTTATCAAGAAAAATATATATTAGAAGAAAATATTAAAGGTACGTGCTTCATAGAGAAAACATTACATGTTTAAAATTTGGCAATCTCGATTATTAAAAATATAGAACATCCAAAATTTTAGATTAATTTGATTTGTATATAATTTTCACAACTTCCAAGAAAAAAAAGATCTCAGTTATCAAATTACAGTTTAATGAGTTTTGATTTCTTGGAAGTTGTGAAAGTTATATACAAATCAAATGGTGTCTATAATTTTGGATGTTCTAAAAATGGGTAGTGTCATATAAATTGAGATGGAAGGTGTATTAGTTTTGGTCAACCTCGTTTTGTCTAAATGACCTTCATATTCCTAATTTGGGAAGTAGCGTATTCAGTATTAATGAGATTATTGCATTGGTGATATAGCCGATATTTTAGTTTATAAGGTGGAGTAGTTACCTACCACTTATCTATGCCTACCACTAGGGGACAAAAAGAATGATCATAAGTTGTGGCAAAGAGTCCCGGATAGGTGTAGCAGTAAATTAGTTCCATGGAAAAGACAATACCTGCCATTTGGAGGAAGACTCACAATGGTTTAACAGTGTGTTGAATGGTATCCCTACTTATTCAGTCTGTCTTCAAAATGCCAGTAGCCGTGGCAAAAGTTTGAAGTCGATGAGGAATTAATTCTTTATGGGAAGGTAATGTTGAAACTAGGAAATTCCATTTGGTTAAATGGATGGTGAAAGAAGAAAAAGAAGGGGGCTTGGGTGTCAGGAACTTGAGGTCGCATAAGAAGAGTTTTTGTTTAAATAATTTTTGTGAGAAATGTAGGAGAAAAATATTGTTGAATTGTGTATCTACATTTAGTGGGTGGTTACAAAAATGTAAAACAATGTTTAGCTTGTCCGTAGGAGATTAGAGAAGAAGTAAGGGCTTATATGTAGTAATCCGAAATTTCAAGTGAGGCAACCAAAATAATATGTTAATATTGATGATGATGATGATATAGATGAATATGCTGAAATGATGCCTCCCTCCAAAACTCCAAAGGTATCTTCTAGTGGAGGTGCAATACCACCGCGCGGAATGTGACGAAAGGCCCTATGAATCTCTATTTTCCACAAAAATCAACACAAAAAGGAGGCTTTGAAAAAGGAGCAGGAATTGATGAAACCAAGAAAATTCTACGAGAGCGTGCGGTAAGTGCTTTTGCAATATGGATGTACGATGTGGGGCTCCCTTTTAATTGTGTCAATTACAAATCATTTGATAAGTTTATTGAGACAGTAGGACAACGTGACCCCGGAAGATGCACGGTGCTACGCAAATCGAATATGAGAAAGTAGTGATTGGAAAGATGGCATGGGCCTACACAAATCGAATATGAGAAAGTAGTCACCGGAAAGATGGCATGATACTACCCAAATTAGATATAATAAAGTAGTCACCGGAAAGATGGCACTATGCTATGCAAAGTGAATATGAGTAAGTAGTAGTGTTTTGGACGGCGAAAGGCGACAAAAGGTGACAAGGGCCTGCCTTGCCACGCGGCGAGGCGCTCGCCTTTTTGAATCAAGGTGCCGCCACATTGGAATGTAGGAGGCTTCATTCCGGGGTCATGTTGTCCTACTGTCTCAATAAACTTATCAAATGATTTGTAATTGACACAATTAAAAGGGAGCCCCGCATCGTACATCCATATTGCAAAAGCACTTACCGCACGCTCTCTTAGAATTTTCTTGGTTTCATCAATTCCTGCTCCCTTTTCAAAGCCTCCTTTTTGTGTTGATTTTTGTGGAAAATAGAGATTCATAGGGCCTTTTGTCACATTCCGTGCGGTGGATGATGCACCCCCACTAGAAGATATCTTTGGAGTTTTGGAGGGAGACATTATTTCAGCATATTCATCCATATCATCATCATCATCAATATTATTCTTCTGGCTGCCTCACTTGAAATTTCGGATTCCTAGAGATTTTCTTTTCCATATAAGTCCTTACTTCTTCTCTAATCTCCGACGGACAAGCTGAACATTGTTTTACATTTTTGTAACCACCCATTAAATGTTGCTTGTGTCGAGTAATACCACCATTAAAAGTACTCCCACAAAAATTACATTTAACTGAATCTATCGTTGATTCTTGAGTACCATAATTCCATCCAATATCCCTCTTTTTGCTAGCATCCGACGCCATTGAATTCACTATTTATGGACAAATAAATACTATATTAATAATTACTATAATTATAGAAGAATTAATTTTGTTTTAAAAAAAATAATAGACATCAAGCAGTAGCCTTCAACAGTGACTGTGAACAACAAAAACAGAGGAAAAAAAACAGAGCAGCGAGCACTACTGAGCAGTCAGCACTACTGATTCACAAATCTTTTTTTTTTGAGAAGGCAGCTGTTCAGATTCACAAGAAACTGAAGAGAAGAAAATAAGAGAAGAAGAGGACTGAAGAGAAGAAACGAAGAAAAAAAGAGAAGAAGAAGAGAACTAAAGAAGAAGAAGAACAACTGAAAAGAAGAAGAAAAAAAAGAGGTCATACCTGGCAGCAACTCACGCGACTAAAGGAGAAGAAGAGATCACGAGGAGAAGAAACGCGACTGATGAGAGTTTGGAAATAGGAAAAGACCCTAATTTTGACTAATATAAACAAAAAGTCGCCGCCATTGACATCGCCATCTTGGCGCCTTACGTCGCCTATTTGATATCGCCTCGCCACACTGTAAAATGGCGTGAAAGTCTCACCTCACCTGGTAAGTAGTCACAAGAAATATGACATTGTGCTGCGCAAATTGGATATGCGAATGTAGTCACCTCAAAGATGCATGGTGCTACTTTCTTTGTCCCGGATGCTTCTATCACACGCCGAGCCTATACCCTGGGTGTGGCCGGCACCCAGAACCATTACTGGTCCTGAGCGAACTCTTGGCCTGGCTTACTACTGAGCGGAAGAATAAACACTTATATGGAAGCTTTAGAGATGAGCATTCAGAACATCGAAACATACTTTATGAAAAATCTGAAATGTGAATATGGATAACAATAATAATGTTTAAACATTTGATGATCAAAGACTTAACTGGCTCACTAACTTGCCTATGGTACCGAAAAGTGGTATGAGATCCATAATATGGAGTGAATGGAGATTTAGTAGTGTCCAGTACTTCAGTTGAAATTTTTTCTTTGCTAATGGTTAGCCTTAACAATATTTGAGACATTGAAATGTTGAGCTAACTTGGAGAAGGAGCCAGTCCATCAGTTTGAGGAAAATCTAGTGACAAAGTTAATGATTAGACATGACATGGATCGAATTATTCTTGAAAGAACCAGCCTTTTGGTTTATCCTCTATGCCTTTTGGTTTGATAAGTATATGCCTTATTTGGAAGGCATAGAAAAGGTCTGGTAGGCCTCAACCCAAATTGATTTAAGCCTTGGAGGATGAATGCCGTTTAAGTGCGTTATGATGGAAGTTTATGTTGAGCCAAATAAGTCTGCCTTACCTCGGTTTGGGATTAAACTATACTAATGCATGCTTGAATCCTTAAAATTCATGCTTGTGAGTACTGAGTATCCCAAACATTGTGTGCTGTCTCACTAATTGTTTGGGTTGTGATAGTTTGTAGATTGAGTTTCCCATTCACGAATATTGCGTCATAAGATTTCACTTCCTCCACACGATTTAATTATTTGAGAATGATGAAATTTTTTGCTTATCTGTGCCCTTAATATGTCCATCCACACATTTCTATGTGCTGGCCAAATGATTCACTGTGAAAGAAAAATAAACAGAAGGAATATTTTGCTTACTGTCTATCATGTCAAATTGTATGCCTTCATGTTTCTATGAAGATTTTAACTCAACAGAAGTTGGTAGTTTTTATTGTTTCTTGTTTTACTGTTCTCTATTGATAGCTTTAAATGATTTGCCGAGAAAATGGAATCCCTTTGCATTGAATCTGCAGTTGATATATTGTTGATGCTGTTTTGCAGGATGAACGTTATGCTAAGTATATAGGAAAGCAGGCTATTGTGCCATTGACATTTGGTCGCCATGTGCCAATTATCTCTGATAAGGTAGGGAAAGTTTCTGTTTCTGTAGTCAGACTATGTGCAAGATGACTTTTCTTAGAGCTGCAAGTATATGAAGTGATATCTAATGGTAGGTGAATTGTCACCTAGAGGAATGAGTCACAGAGTAGTAATCTAGTCAACCTATACATAGCAACTGTTTTTCTTAAATTTGACTCAGGAACTGATGCCAGACCCATACAAGTGGCTTTACTCCTTTGACCATTTCTCATGTTAATTCTTTCTCGCCTATTCTGCTATCTGCTCTCCTCCATGTTCACCATTCCTGTACTTCTATTTGGATGCCTACAAGTCATACAAAGTATGATGGCTTGTGTTAGAGTATTCATTTTGTCACCAGTTGCACAATAGTTTCCAGAAGGGTTTATAATGTCCTGGATACTTCCACTTGTTGTCTTAAAGTGTTGGGTTAGATAATCAGATTCTTTCCAACGGTATCAGGACTGGATTTCAGTAAGCCTGTAATCTTTCCTACCTGTTCTGTTGCTTTGTGCTTCCTCTCTTAACTCAACCTATTGAGCCATTAACTCTACTCCAGACATACCCTGTAGCTTGCTGAGCATTCTCTTTCTGCATTAGGCTCACTCTTCAACTTATTGAGCTTACTCTCCTTCAGGCCCCTTTCTTATTCTGATGAGTCTACCTGATGAGTCCACTCGATCTGGAGCAGTCTGCAGTCTGCTCCAGGCCTGCTCTTCCTGTTGAACTTCTTCGAACTTTTTAAAAGGAAAAAAAAGGAAGAAAAAGGCCTTCAGTTCACATGTAACCCTGGAACGGGGTTACATGTACGTGAGGACGTTAGAGAACCTATCTCACATTGGTTGTATAATGGTTTCTAAAGGACTTTATATGTCCTGGGTTTAGATTATTTCACTGCTTAGCTCTTTCAGTGTAGATGGTTTAAATGCCCGGGTGGGAAATTTTTCCTGTAAAAGTGAAGAATATTTTGATAATTAACTATACATTTTTTATGTTCAAACATGAGTTTGCAGTTTCAAGATTGTAAGGTTGTCATTGTCAAAGGTAAATTTAGCTGATGCATGATTTCTAACAGTATGTCGACAAAGACTTTGGAACTGGTGTATTGAAGATAAGTCCTGGACATGATCACAATGATTACCTCCTCGCTCGCAAGCTTGGTCTTCCTATACTTAATGTGATGAATAAAGACGGGACTCTAAATGAGGTGGCTGGGCTATATGCGTAAGTAATAAGCTACTTCCTATTTGGAGCATTTTTGGCTTTTGAAATATTATAAATTGTTTTTGGATATGATTATTCCACTTGTGCAGTGGCCTTGACCGGTTTGAGGCAAGAAAGAAACTTTGGTCAGATCTCGAGGAGACGGGCTTGGCTGTAAAGAAAGAGACTCACACTTCACGAGTTCCTAGATCCCAGCGTGGTGGAGAAGTGTGACTCTTATGTTCGGTTCTTTATTTTTTTTTGGAAGTGATAAAGAATAAATAATTCCTTTATCTTGGCTTTATTCTCAGTTTACTTTTTTTTTTTTTTTTTTTCAGATTATAGAACCTCTAGTTAGTAAGCAATGGTTCGTCACAATGGAGCCTCTGGCTGAGAGGGCACTTGAAGCAGTTTCAAATGGAGAATTGAATATTGTGCCCGAAAGATTTGAGAAGGTATGTAAATCATATTGGTAACTGTCTTGCTTCATATGGCTCAACATCATTTACTTTTCAGCTTTTTGTTGTGAACTCTTCTCTGTTTCTACGTTCATTGTTTGAGTTTCTTAGGCTTCTAAAAATGCTAGATGATTGCCTCACATTCAACTTGAGGAGTCCTCTGCTTTTCAAGTTCTTTGTAATATTACTGAAGAAAACGTTGTTGCTGAAACTTTTATATCTATTACACTGGGTTTCCGTTAGCTTCTTACTCACCTTTTGCATCTAAGCCTTCTGCAGATTTTTGATTCTATTGGTCATTCTGATCATCAAAAATATTTTATTAGGAGTAATCCAGTAGGTGAAGAGTTTGAGGATGCAGCTGTGGAGTTCTTAAGAATGACAGCACTAGAGCATTACTATAGGTCATATATCAGTATATGAGGCTTAAATACAAGTTCTTGTTGATACTCTTAGCATTAAAGTATACGGGTAGACCAAGTTAAAACGTGTTTTTTTGAAAATGAAACTTTGGTGCATGTTCTGTATGTATTCACTTATATGGTAATCTAGTTTTAGTTGCACCAAAAAATTGAAGCTTGAAAATAGCCTCAATGCCTATTAACCTTGACTGAATTTACTAGGTTTTCATTTGCCTATTTCTCCTGATGCACTTGCAGATATATAAGCACTGGCTCTCTAATATCAAGGATTGGTGTATAAGCAGACAATTGTGGTGGGGACACCGAATACCAGTTTGGTATGTTTCTGGTAAAGACTGTGAAGAAGAATATATTGTTGCTAGGAGTCACAGAGAAGCTCTCACAAAAGCCCAAGAGAAGTATGGGAAAAATGTCGAAATATATCAGGATCCAGATGTTCTTGATACCTGGTTTTCAAGGTTGTTTGTTTAACATGTTTTTCCCCTTAAACTCCACTCGGGTATTTTTCTTATGAAACTATTTGGATATTAATGAATCTAGAATAGAAAATCCATCCTTTTGAACAATGTGGATTTCTATGTTTTGATGCAAATTTACAATTCAAGGCTATGTCTTAGCTATGGCTATCTGTCTCCCATGTGTCTTCAAGGTTTCTGGAATGTTTTCATACTTAAGGTCTAAATTTGCCTATTTGGATTGTTATTCTTGTCTTATTTGTCTCAGAACCCAATATGCCCCACCCAACTTGTGTTCTCATTTTTGATTTTGTTTACATGGTATTGTTGATTTTCCTTTTTCTCTTATATTCTCATTTATCATCTTTGCCTTTCCACATGCTTCAGGCATTCTTTTAACATATTTCCTATTTTCTTTAATCTGATATTTCCTAATTTATCTTTTATCAGTACTACAGTAATTATTTCGCAATAGGACTATTTTGTTTCTTATTTTCTTGTCTGCTACTGTAAAATCTCGATGTTACTCAATTGTTATTTCAATTTTATGCATTTGAAATCATTATTATTGAAATTTTGTACTTAGTTTTTCCCCATTAAACTACGATTTGATAGTATTTTGCTTTCTGGTGTAATAGATTACTGGTAGTCTTCATATGATTTGGTCTATTTTGTTGCTGATTTTTGACTTCCTCTGATTGAAGTCTTTGTTCCTTTCATTTAGTTCATTGTGGCCCTTCAGCACACTTGGATGGCCAGATGAGTCAGCAGAGGATTTTAAACGGTTTTATCCAACATCAGTTCTTGAAACTGGGTTTGTACTTACTCCTTTTTCTTTCTTCTTTACTAGTTTATGAACACATGCATTGCACATGTATCGCTTGCTAATTAGTATTAATGTTTTAAAATGATATAGACAATATCAAAGTATGTATGTGATGAAAATCCTTAGAGGAAAATACAAGTACAAATTGAGGAATGATTAACCTATTGGACTGATATTTATTGTCATCGCAAAACATTAACTTCTAAATTTTTTTTTCAAATTATGAACATAAGAATATCCTTTATTTTCAGGAGGTGAAACATGAATTTGGGGAGAAAAAATGTTTCTTTTAGTGCCTTCTTCTAATATCATTGGATCAAAATAGTGAGTGGATGAATAAGCAGAAACAAGGACAACAAATTAATAAGAAGAAAATGTATTCATTTTTCATATTTCTAAGCTAAGATTAAACAAAAGAATTTGCTAAGAAAAGTGCTAATGCTACAACTAATCCATAAATTATGCAAAGAATACAATTTGGGAAAAGAAATTATAAGCATTCTCTTGAAAAACATACCAAAAGTTGGAGACAAAACTAACTTAACAACTTTCGAATACATGAAATTAAATAGCACCTCGTCATCTTCACAATGCTTATCTTTTTAATTGTTTTTGTAGCCTAGTATGTTTAAAGATTATGGTTGGTACAATTTGTTCACCAAACCTTGCTTGTGTGATACCTCATATTCCGCTATACTTCGAACTCACTCAACGATTCTAAATCACACTTGAGGTTTTTTGGGAGGAAGAATAAGCATAGAAAACTTAGAAAATTTGTAGTTTAAAAATGAGTAGAAACTCCACTATTTATAGCCAACAAATTGTAGTATGAACAGGTGCTTTTGTGCCTTTTTAGAAAAGTCAGAACCTTTCTGAAAAGTCACAACCCTTCGGAAAAGTCACAACCCTTCGGAAAAGTCACAACTCTTTGGAAGAGTCACAACCCTTCAAAAAGTCGCAACTTATCGAAAATCACAACCCTTTAGTGTGAAAAGGTGTCGGCATTTAATATAATATAAATATAAAATATAGAAGATATACTAAATTGAGTGTTTTTGGTTGGAGGTATTATAGTAATTTAACATTCAAATTAGGGAGTTCATACTTTTAAGGTAGTAAGTATAAGTATAGATGATATAGATAGATTGTTTCAGGAGTTGGTTCAAGGGTTAGCATTCTTCAAATCTTTTGCATCTCCTAATGGATGAGTTAGTTACCATTTGATCTCCCATAGTTCAGTGTATAATCCCCCCAAACTTTCTTGCACATCTTTCCTCTTCCTATCTTGCGCTGCACAGTGTTGAATCTTCCCTGCTTTCTTCCCCTCAGTCACATTGATACTAGAAAATAGAAATGTGAATATAAGAAGACCTATGTTACTGTAATATGCCTGAGGTTCAGAAATGATAAATATGCTTGAGAAATAACTAAAAAGTAGACCCTCCTAATACTGCTTTTGACAATAGCCCAAAAATTCAAAGCTTAGTGATGATAGAAATTTCACCCACCTTTATTTGCTGTGAATGACATATAATTATGTTTTTTACTGTTAATTTTCCATTTTGATTTGCTATTACTGCATCATAAAATTTTATAATATGAATTATATGTAATGAAGTGATTTATTTGTTAAAAACTTGTCAGGTTTATGGTAGAAATTTGAATTTCTTTTCTTTCTGACATTGCTGATTTGAGCTTTTGATAGAATTAGGGATGCTGATATCAATATACCTTCTAGGCTCAATTTCATATTAAATTATCTTGTTCCTCGCAATTAGTCTAAGTCCATCTAGCAATCAAGATGGAAAAACAATGGAAGTATGCTGTCCATTTAACAAACCTATTGATGGAAATTTGCAACTTCACGTGGTGTAAAAAAAGGAGGAAAAACAAAGGCCCATGTATTATTTATCATCTTAGTTTATGCCAGTGTTGATATATTATCACTTGGGTCTTGAGTTTGATATGGTGCCTTCTTTCCTATTTGAAGATGTTTAGTGCCTTGAAAGAGAAGTACATAGGTTCCCTCCAGCAAAAGTTAGGTGAGGTAACCTAATTTTAGTACCATGGTTAGTTGATAAACTCTTGAACTTTTGTTACATTTACATGAAAATGGGGCCAACTGTGGAGAGGCTTTTTGATGAATTCAAATTAGAAGTGACCCTATATTATGTGATGCAATATACACACACACACAAACACACACAAGAATATAAGTGCATTTCAGCTCATAAAGTACTATGAATATGCACCATGAACTTGTAATAGACTGCACAGCTAATTCATAATGGTATAGTTGTTGCTAACAACAAAACAACAACATACCCAGTGAAATCCCACTAGGTGGTGTCTGGGAAGGGTAGAGTGTACGCAGACCTTACCACTACCTCGTGGAGGTAGAGAGGCTGTTTCCGGGAGACCCTCAGCTCAAGAACATCAAATCTAAGTGACAGGAGAGATATATATAAAACATAACAACCAATACAAAAGATAGTGTATAATCAACAAATGAGACAATAACATCAAGAAAGTAGTGTGAGGAGTGAAACGCAGTAAACATCATAAGGCTAGGACTACTCCAAACGCTAACAACCCATACCCTCGCAAGGGAAGACAACACGCTAACCCTACTAACCTTCAACCTTAATACGTGACCTCCACTCCTTCCTATCTAGAGTCATGTCCTCGGTAATGTGAAGCATAGCCAAGTCTTGTCTAATCACCTCTTCCCAATACTTCTTGGGCCTATCTCTACCCCTCTGCGTACCCTCTACCACCATTACCTCGCACCTCCTCACTGGGGCGTCTACGCTCCGTCTCTTCACATGTCCAAACCATCTCAGTCTCGCTTCCCTCAGCTTGTCCACCACAGAGGCCACTCCCACCTTCTCCCGGATAACCTCATTCCTAATCTTGTCGCTCCTAGTGTGCCCACACATCCATCTCAACATCCACATCTCCCCAACATGCATTTTTTGAACATGTGCGTTCTTGACTACCTCTGTCTAATTAACTGGACCTTGTCAATAGCTTCTTGTACTAAGTCTGGTCCCAATATATTAGCCTCTCCAACTTCAAACCATCCTATAGGAGAACGACATCACCTACCATACAAGTCTTCGTATGGTGCCATCTGAATGCTTGGCTGGAAGGTGTTGTAGGAAAATTCAGCTAAAGGTAGGTAAGTATCCCAACTACCTCCAAAATCAAGGATGCAATCTCTCAACATATCCTCCAAAAATTGTATAGTACGCTCAATCTGCCCGTCTGTCTGCGGATGAAATGCAGTACTAAGATCTACTCGTGTGCCCCAATGCTTCTTGGAAAGATCTCCAAAAGCGTGAAGTAAATTGTGACCCTCTATCAAAGATGATACATTGGAACACCGTGAAGTCTGACAATTTCATTCATTAATATTGTGCATATTTCACTCCACCAGGTGCAGTCTTTACTGGCAAGAAGTGTGCTGATTTTGTTAGTCGGTTCACAATTATCCACACAGAATCATAACCTCTAAGGGTTTGTGGTAGCCCGATCACAAAATCCATAGTAATGCTTTCCCATTTTCACTCTGGAATTAGAATCTGCTGTAGTGATCATGTGGGTTGCAGATGCTCAACTTTTTCCTGCTGACAAGTCAAACAACTAGAAACAAAGTTCGCAATATCTTTCTTCATACCTTCCCACCAAAACAATTATTTCAGGTCACGATACATCTTAGTGGAGCCAGGGTGTATAGTGTATCTGGAATTGTGAGCTTCCTCAAGAACAGCTCGTCTTAACCCATCTGCATTTGGTACACATAACCGGTTACCTAGTCGGAGAATACCATCACATTAAACAGTTATCTTCTTACTTTTACCAACTTGGACCTCATCTCAGTAGTTGCACAATTGCACATCCTCATATTGAGTGGCCTTTATGTGCTTTACTAGTGAAGACTTGGCTTGAACACAAGCCAACAATGTTTGAATTTCCCACACAAAATCTGACACATGTGCCCTCGAGTTTCTAAATATCCTTTGTCAACTCTCTTTTCAGGAGCCATATGTGGCAAACTTCCCATAGATTTTCTGCTTAATGCATCATCCACCTATGTTGCTCGGACTCTTCAAAAATGTCGTCGGATCCTTAAAAAGTAGTGCATTTTGGAGGACCTGACACGCGTGTGGCAACATTTATGGAGAATTCGAGCAACTTAGTCAACCACAACATTAGCCGCACCTGAAGTATTACGAGTAGCCTGGGTAGGTAAAGCTAACTGAGCATAAGCTTGACTGACATTTCTCAGAGATTGAGGGTAGTCCCTGATGCGATGTCCCAGCTGGCACACCAGAAGTGAGTCCGGAAACTAAATGATGGGGAGGAAAGCCAAAATGACTAAAATAATTGCCCAAAATAAAGTTTACAAATTCTACCTTTAACGTATTAATTTAGTGCACTATGTAAGGATTGTCTGACTCCTAAAGTTAAAGTCCGTCAGTCGTCCGTATGTTAAACCTTTTCTTTTAAAACAAAATTGATAACATAGGAAATTTGTGCGCTATAGGCATTCTATTCTTTTGCTCAATTGTAAGTTTTGATGTCATGCATACTTAAATTCTTCAAGATATTTTAGTAAGTTATTTCAATTTACACATGAAAGAAGTTTTTTTTTTTTTATTTCATATTATTAAAAAAATTTGCTTTACAAAATATGTGTATTATCATTTTCTAAGACAATAGAAAATATAAGACTTAACTTATGCTTATGAAAATAATAACCCCTTTGTTTTAATTTAATTGTCTTACTTTTCTCTTTAGAAAATACTTCTTTAATTTATATATTTGGTAATTCTTTATTTCCGATATTCTACAAGACCTTTTTAATATGACAAGATTCAAAATTCATTGTAGTACACCACACAATAAATTAAAGGGGATTTTTTTAAAATTAAAGGGGAAATCACTCCTTATCAATAGTTTTTTCTTTTCCAAAGTTTGAACTCGAGACCTTTAATTAAAAGTGAAGATATCTTATTCATCACGTCACACCTTTTGATTCATCCCGCCACAACTCTGTTTTGTGGTACATCGCACACATGAATTTCTCAATTGAGAAATTATTACCACTATTATGGCAGGCAATTTATCATACCTGTTGTTCTTTGCTCTCTTTATTTTTAGTCTGAATCATATATATTGTCAAAGTAAATAATTTTTAGTCCATCAAAGTCATTTTTATTTTTTATCTGTTATAATAGGTAATCTGATTTGTTTTCAAAATTACAAATTTTGCATTCTAAAGAATTTGTAAATATCTTTTGTATGACCTAATAATGTAAAATGATGAAGAATGCACTGACATATATAATTGAACGTTTTTTCCCTTTACTAGAGTTGCCATATTTTTGCGCCATCAACAATGCCAAAGGACTTCCCAAACATCTTATATTTGGCTTTCTTTTAGCACTAATTTGCATGAAAAAGTTCTCAAGCACGATGATATTAATTTCTTCAACCTACCAACTTAATGCAATAAAATTAGTAAATATAAATGATTGTATCATTTTTGTTATCAAGAACTCTGGGTGCTTATTATGTTTCTCATCATAACAAATGGAGTATCATTTTTTCAAGTGCTATACTTTGATGTGTACTACCCCCTTCAATTTGGCTGTCTAAGTAAATGAACTTGTAGCACAAAAAAAGCTGTGGCGAGATAAATACAATTTCTTTATTTTTAATTAGAGGTCTTGAGTTTGAACTTTGAGGAATTTTTTTGATAAAGAGTGATTTCCCCTTTAATGTATTGTGTTTGATGTACTACAATGTCTGTTGAATCTTATGGTATTATAAAGTTCATGTAGAATATTTTTGTAATTAAAGAATTACCAAATATACATATTAAAGAAGTATTTTTTAAAAAGAAAAATAAGACAATTAAATTAAACCAGAGGGAATATTATTTTTTCTACGCCTAAGCTAAGTTTTATATTTTCATTTGTCTTAGAAAATGATTATACACATATTTTTGTTATGCAGATTATTTTTTAATAATATGAAAAAAAGAACTTATTTCATGTTTAAATTGAAATAACTTACTAAAATATCCTTAAGCATGACAAGACATCAAAACTTACAATTGAACAAAAGAATAGGATGACTATAGCACACAAATTTCCTATGTTATCAACTTTATTTTTTTTAAAGGTTCAAGCGACGGACGGTTGACATACTTTAATTTTAGGTGTCAAACAATTCTTACATAGCGCACTAAATTAGTGCGTTAAAGGTAGAATTTTTAAACTTTGTTTTGGGCCTTTTGGCTTTCCCCCCATCATTTAGGTTCCGGACTCCACCGAAAGTACTCTCTAGTCAAAACACGACATTGACCCACATATGGTCTGCTGCAAGTCTGGAAGATTGGAGCAGTGGCGTACATCTGCATTATTGCATAGAACTATGATGTCCATATAACAATGATGGTCCCTAGATACCCTGTCTATGATGCGGCCTCTAAGCAGACTGTGAATACGAATCTGTCCCTGTCTGAGAACCCTGTTGTTGCTTTCCCTGCTCGGTGATTTGCACTGAAGTCGCCGCCGAAAGATCCCCCTGTCTTGGCCTTCTTACGCACATCATAGGCTGCATGTTCCTCAAGACCCTTGTTTTCAATCTTCCTAGCATGATCTGCATCAGAGTAGGTCAAAGTCTTCATCTGTGGGGCTACTGCATTGTATAGATTACCAACCAACACATCAACAAACCTCTGAACTCGAGCTGCTTCACTGTACTCTAAGTAGCATAGCCAACTTACAGAATAATGGCTTGGGTGCTGGCTGAAATAGCAGCAGGTTCTACCAGATTAGTGACTGAAAGTGGCAGGGTGTTGCTGGAGCCATCACTGGAAAGAGGTGTTGTGCAGCCACAGTTACAGAAAAGAGGCACAGTACTCTTTGAACAGTTTGGTGCTGTTGGAACAGTTATCAATAATAGGCAAGAGTATTTTTTGAAAAGAAAATTTTAACTTTATGGCTGCAATCGATATACAGAATCTACTTGGGTCTCTAACTAGAAACTCTCTTCCATATGAGAAATACTAGTTGAGAAGAAAAGAGATGTAATGATTACAAGAGTGAGGTACCATCAACATATTATATTTACCAATGAAGGATGTATTAATACTAATTCTAATATTTTTACTTTCACGTACTAATACTTGATATTTTAATATGTTTCGAAATAGTTGTCCTTGATTTTCTCTCTCTCTGTTTCAAGAAAGTTGGTATGTTTCATACTTTTTTCCTTTTTATTTTTTGAGAACTGGTAATTTGTATTCCTCAGCATTAAGGACTATGCTGGCAACCTCCAAAAAGATATCAACAGGAGAAAGAAACAAAACACTAATTACAAAGCTTCTAAAAAAAAATCTACCAAAGAGACTGCTTCCTCTGTGTTTGCTTCTTTACACCAGAAATGAAGATTAGCAATGCAGCTCTCCTTAATTTTCTGTATAGAGCTAAATCTATCCTCAAAACACCTTCCATTCCTTTTCTTCCACACTGTTCCACCAAATTCAAGAAGGGACTGCTTTTCACCATCTCTTTTGGGATTTGCTACCCCCTCTCATGATCCAACAGCTCAGGAGATCTGCTGTGTGTTCTGGCATAGTCCACCTGACGCTACTTCAGCCTTAACTGCAACTACATTATGCAAGCCCCGCCGATACCTACCTATAGAGACCATAACCGAGAACTCACCTTGCAGTGCAAAAATAAGTGACTGTTTGTCTCTGCATACTCATCGCAAAGATAGCATCTAGAATCAATCTGGACTCGTCTCCTATGTAAAGCTTCATGTGTTAGACATGTTCTTTTGATCACTAGCCCGGTGAAACATTTAATTTCTGAGCTGACCAGACAGTTCCACACTTCACCCATGGGCCTCTACTGCCTCCAGGTTGCCCCAGGAGTTCCTTCTTATACAACCTATTCGCTGTGAACACCCCATCAGAGCTATATTTCCACCTGATAGTGTCTGGCATTGGAGAAGTGCCTCTGAAATTTTCAATCTTCTTCAACAGACTAACCATCCTGTATATTTCATATTTTTCATGTTACTATCTTTTTAAGACTTGTGGTTTTCAAAATGTAAAAATGCGATATTGCAATAGTCCCTGAATAGTAACAGTTACTTCACTTGGTAACAGGCACGACATACTGTTCTTTTGGGTGGCACGAATGGTGATGATGGGAATTGAGTTAACTGGGACTGTCCCCTTTTCAAATGTTTATCTTCATGGACTAATCCGTGATTCTCAAGTGAGTTCATGTTTTTAAGTTACTGCCTGAAATGTATGTCTTCACTCTTCTTGATGCACTTTTTCTAGATAATTTGTTGATCATTCTGGCTGATTTATTATTCAGTGGAATTACTTGTCCTGTAAATACAATTCCCTTTTATTTTCGGTAAAAAATGTGCACTTGCGTGTTGCAAATTTACATTGGTCGTAAGACGATGCGTTCAGTTAATTCATATTTCCCTCCTCTTCACAAGCTACCGTTTCAGCAAGAAGGGTATGTTGTTACCACTTGAATAGAGTAACTTGTGCTGTTTTGGAGGAAAGTTAAGATATTGTTCCTACCTAATTCATTGATTGAAGAGACCAATTTCTAAGAAAAAAGTTATTTCAGGCCCTGCATTGAGGTTTAAATTTTACACATTTCCCCGAACTTTTGGTTAATCAATCTTTGGACTGATCGGCTCCAAGCATGCAGTTTTTGTTAATGTTATATATATTTGTGATAATGAGTCGATTTACTGAAATAATTTAATTTGGTTGAACCTGCCCTATCTGCATCTGAGTTGCATCCAGGACACGTCCAGAAACCATCATTAGTTGTGATAAGATCTGGATTTATATCTCCCATTCCATGGTTCATTTCCTGCATATATTGTAGCTTTAAACTTGTCAGGGCTCTGTTTCAGGGCAGAAAAATGTCTAAAACATTGGGAAATGTCATAGATCCCCTTGACACCATTGCAGAGTATGGCACTGATGCTTTGCGTTTCACTCTTGCCTTAGGGACTGCTGGTCAGGTTTGTAATGAGCTCATTTTTAGTCAGTAAACTATAGATAGATATCTTCCTTTTTCTCCAATAGTGTCCACTGGGATGCTTTCATCGGCCAGCTTATGTCTTTGTTATAGGATCTAAATTTGTCCACAGAGAGGTTGTCCTCTAACAAGGCATTCACCAACAAATTGTGGAATGCTGGCAAGTTCGTATTGCGGAATTTGCCTCGTCAAGATGACACTCCTGCTTGGGAAGCCTTACGGGTTCATAAGGTTTGCTTATATGTTTCTTTTCGACAATTTACTTCGAGATCTGTGGTTCAGAAGCAGTTAGTACTAATGAAATAAAAAGAATGTTTGAAAGAGAAGACATACTTATTAAAAAAGAAAATTTTCTGAAAGAACAGAGATAAGTATTGTGGTATGACAAAATGAAAAATGCATTAAATCAGAGATTGTCATTGTGTCAGATTAATTTTGGTGATCCATATTAACTCTGCCAGATTCAGATTGAGCTTCATGATCAGCATGGGCTTGAAGACTAAAAAGCTTAATCCTGGTTGTTGACATAACTCTAAAACATGTCGATTTTGTTTCCAGCATAGGCTGGAAACATAGAAATTTTTTGCTGTTAAATAATTTGGTATATACCCGCATCTCTGAATGTTGAAGTCCACTTCTTCGAGAATTCTCAGATCTGCATGGCTTGAGAATTCACATCCTAGAACAAAGTTAATCCAAAAGGATTGTGTCCCACCGAAGCCCAATTTTTGTGGTGTTCAAATCGATATCCTTGGTTTCTATATAGACGCTAGAGTGAGAAAATTGGTTTTTTGAAGTACAGTGAATAACTTCTTCCATTTATCTTAGATTGGTAATTTACTGGGAACTTTAGTATTCACATAAAAAATTAGGAGTCATCCCGAGGTTTCTAAGGGTCCAGAGTTGAATTGTGTTTTAATTCCTTATTCCCTGCCAAGAATATATCATTCATAATTCTAATCTATTTCACCATCTACTGTTCTCTCAGTTTGATAATATAGAGTCTGTGCTGAAGCTCCCACTACCTGAATGCTGGGTGGTAAGATGATGTTTTTGATGCTTATTAAGCCCAATATTGCATAGTGGTCCTGTTTTAACTAGTTCTACACCATTCAGGTATCAAAGCTTCATGTACTTGTTGATGAAGTCACTGCAAGTTATGAGAAATTTTTCTTTGGAGATGTTGGAAGAGAAATATATGACTTCTTTTGGTCTGATTTTGCTGATTGGTATGTTCTTCCTAGTGCTTTTGGTTCTTTTACTTGGTTTCCATGTTAGTCTTGTTACTCATTTATTTAAATAAGACATTATCCAGTATTATTTGAATAAGACATTATGCAGTATATGAAGTCCTAACCATGTAGAGCCGGGAGCAACTTTTATTGAAGATTAATATGTAGAAGAATGATGCTGATGGTGGGAAGAAATTTAATTAGTAACTCTTCTTACACTAGGTGATCTAAAATTTGAAGTTCATGAGTTCTTTCAGCAACCTCAAGTTAATACTCCCTCTATTCCAATTTATGTGACACCGTTTAGCCGGGCACGAAGTTTAAGAAATAAGGAAAGACTTTGTTATGTATACCAAATTGCCCTTAATGTCACTTTAATGCTTACTTTTAGTTGACTTTTCTTCACAATAATGTGTTAAGTTGGACCCAATAAGGATAAAATGGGGATGATGTCATTATAGTTGCCAAATAAGGAAAATGACACTCTTTTTGGGACAGACTAAAAAGGAAAGGGTGCCACAATATTTATAGATATTTAGTGAATTTCTTACTACATATTCATGATTAAGAAAAAGCAATTGGGTTCATGTGACCCACAATAATCATGTAGATCCACCTCTGCAACACATTATCTAAAATCTGAAGTAGGGACTATTTTTATTGAAGAGTAATATGTAGAAAGAATGATAGTGTTGGTGGGCATAGGAATTAAATTTGGAATTCATTCTTATGCTCTTGCATGGTGATTTGCCTTGTTCATGCTTGAAGAACTAGTCCATTGTGAGTTAAAACAAAGGTCATTACCCCCAGGCCAGTTCAAAAACTTAATGATACGTATTAGGTATATTATGATTAAAGTTAGTTACAGTGATAAGAGTAGGTAAGCTTAACCCTGAAAAATGGTTATGAATGAGTTTACTTCTCCTTCATCATGAAACTAGTTACCTAATTCTGCCATCAATTTAGTGACAACAAATTGATTTTTGATCCGTTTGGTTTGAGCAGAATGTAAGAGCCTCTGTGTAACTGCTTACATCCTTTATCTCTTCTTTACTTAGCTGACAGGAAGGTCTTCACTTGCTCTTTACTTCTGAATGAAGAGGAGACATAGAAGTTATCTGTTCTGTTTCATTCTTTTCCTTTAATTCATCTTAGTTTCTTCCAGACCTTAGCCGAAGATGGTATATCTTATAGTTTATCTATTTCTTCTTCTGTCCCTGAATCCCTGTCTATTTTTCAAGGTACATTGAAGCTAGTAAAGCTCGTCTGTATCACTCTGGAGATCATTCTGTTGCATCTGTATCACAAGCAGCTCTGCTATACATTTTTGAGAACATTCTTAAATTGCTACATCCATTTATGCCTTTCGTAACTGAGGAGCTCTGGCAGGTGATCTGATATATCCCTTTAATTTTGTGCTTTGATCAGTCACTTCTATTGTTTTGTATCAGTATACTTAATGTCAAATCCTGATGATACAAGATGAGTGAGGATTATGCAGTCAGATATTTATGAGAACCTACAATCTATGGGAAAGAGTTCCACTCCAGAAGTCAGAATATTATAGACTTATAGTGGAATAACAAAATATCCATATCGTTCACCCCTTGGTAACTAAAGCTTACATGCAAATATGTGAGATGTGTGAATTATCTGAATTTAAGGTGGTTTACAATGGGGTAGTTCTTCTTTTGATTTTCCTTTGAGTCAACTTTGAAGGCGATAAAGCTCGTTAAATAGAGTAGTTAAAACAAAAATCTGACATCACACCCCCTGGGGTGTGGCCCTTCCCCTGCACGGTGCTGCCCTTTTCAAAAGAGAAAAGTGTAAAAAGGCTCTCTGTTGGAGCTTTACGCGCAAATTGCAATTTTACTTAGCTAAATAAAGCGCTAATGAAGAAAAACAAAAGTTTTAATGTAATATAAGAAAATATTACTACGAGTACAAATAATAATTATTTGGACACAAGAATTGACCTGACTATAATTAAGAGAAATATCCAAAATGAAATCATGTCAATCAAGTTCACAAACCATTTTAAAATTTTAACTTGATGAAGATATGTAGTGTTAACTTCTAAGGATTTAGAGGTAGTTTTCTTGTTCTAAGTCTCTAATTTCTTATTCCTAATTACTAACAATTCAATCAAACTATTTTCTTGACAATTAAAGTATCACTTTGTTAACTATATTTACAACGGTGAAGAGGTGCATGCTTGATGCCAACTATAAAGTGCCAACTAAGCAACGTGAAGCTCACAATGAGCACTTCAGTATGCTCCAAAGCTTACGCACATCTTAGGCAAGCTTTTAACAGCACTGGTTAAATATCATTTATCGATGACAGCCAACCTCTGGTGAATGCATCCCCACCGCCCCAAAAAGAAAAAGGGAAAAAGAAATGAAAAACTTAAAGTTTATCAATACTCACTTTTCACACAAGGTCACAAATATATTAGTTTATCAATCCTAATTCTGATCCATAACTTTGGGTCCTAATCCACTCTGAGTCTTTTGGCATAATAGCCTCCCAACTTATTACTATTCTGATAATCTTGCATCATAGTTCTTTTCCATGTTAATTTTGCTATGTTGTTCTTTAGTATAATCATGTCTGTGAAAGGTATAGCACATGTGAATCTGCACTATCAAATGAAATGGTCTGCAAAAAAAAAAAAAAAACCCCTAGTTGTTGATGTTGCATGACCTTCCACCTAGACTGTGAGATTCCCTAGTCTGTATCACACCCTAGCTTGTTGTCGTTGATTTTCTGAAATGCATTAATATCTTAATCAGTCAGCAGAAACTGGTAAGTCATTCAAACTATGACTTATTTGGTCGGGTTTCTTCTCTTAGAAGTATTTGATTGTGTTCTTTATCTGAGTCCCGTCACTTCTTAGTACAAATAAAATAGGCTGCATAATTTGGAAGTAGTAGTAAATAGCTGATGAAATATTGTCAATGTTGAAGCTGATATAAATTTCTAATTGTGTTAAAAAATAGACGAAGTGGAGACAAGTGGTACCTGTTTGTTTCCAATCATGGTTAACATTGGAAAAATGTTAGGATTCTAATATGAACTACAACAGTTAGGATTCTAATATGAACTACAATGTTGATGATACTGTTCAATTATTCTACATATATTTCTAAGTACCAGCTTTATTTGGCCATGGGCCTACTAGCTGATGAGGGTGCAAGCCAGTAACTTGGCCTGCTCCAAAATCTGGAAAATCTTATAAGAACATCTGATTTTTGCTTCAACAGCGAAATAGCTTAAGGGTACATGCTGTTCTCATTGCAGTTTGACTCTCCGATTTCTGCAGGCATTACCCAGTAGAGGGAAAGCTCTTATAGTTTCTGCGTGGCCACCTACATCACTTCCCAGGAATATTGATTCCATAAAAAAGTTTGAGAATTTACAAGCATTGGTGAGTTTGACTTTCAGCTTTTTTTGGTGCTAATTTTAATTTTATATTTAATTTTTGTTTTCCTGAATAATATATCCCTTCCATCAATTCAGACTAGAGCCATCAGAAATGTACGAGCAGAGTATGCAGTTGAGCCAGCAAAGCTTATTTCTGCATCTATCGTCGCAAATCCAGATGTCATTCAGTATATCTCTGTAAGATCTCCACTTTATTCATTACCTTCTCTTTATTCAGGTAACTTTTCTTTCTGAAACGTGGTGGCTATTTGTTTTTTTGGTGTCATTTTGCTGTGTTACTAATCAAAAGAACATGAAAAAATGCAGGCACACTTAAAATTTTTGGACCCTCCAAAATTCAAGCAGATTAATGAAATTTTAAGTTAAAATATTCCTAGCTTCAATATATGTCTAGATTCTTTGGATATTTGTAGGAGATACTGAAGGATATTCCATAACATTCGATAAAATATTAAAGAAAATTTTCCCTCTACAATCAGAATAGTTACATCCCTTATTATTCAGTTTTTGGTCAATAGATACCATATTGTTCATATTCTAAGATTGTCAACTAAGGAGCTTTCTTTGACATTGTTGATAATCAATTCAACAGGAACTGTTCTATCATCTTTCCTCCCTTTTTACGCGTAATGTTGGTGGTTATCATTGCTATCATGATTCATGAAAAGGATACATGTTGAAGGAAATTTTTTCTCTATATTCTAAAGACTTCACATACAAAATTTGATAAGGTTAGAAATGATCTCATATGATAGTGAGTGTAACTAGTAGAAATTTGATAAGACTAGTGTAAAAATGTGGCACTTGGCCCTAACTCAACCCCAAAAGTAGCTCATGAGGGGAGGATTACCCAAGTCCTTATAAGCAAACCACCATTTCATTCCCCAAGCAATGTAACACTCTAACCTACTCTAACAGGCCCCTTCATGCCCAGGCCCAATTGGAGCATGGACTGGGAGCCCAAACGGTAGTGGTCTTGGTTTTGCTACCATGTAAAGATATGACACCTTGTCCTAACTCACCCCAAAAGCTAGTTCATGAGGGGAGGATTATCCAAGTCCATATAAGCAACCCACCAGTCCGTTCCCCAAGCAATGTGGGACTCTTAACCCCCAAGGCCCAATTGGAGTTTGGACCGGGACACCAAATGGGCATGGACCTGGCTTTGATATCATGAAAAAATATGGCACTTGGGCCTAAAGCGAGCTCATGAGGGGAGGATTACCCAAGTTCATGTAAGCAAACCACCAGTCCATGCCCCAACCAATGTGAGACTCTAACCCACTCTAATAATTAGAAATGATCACATTTGAAAGGTAGTGTAAGTAGCACAAAGAGAGGATAAAATAAGAGGCTTGCTTGAGATAGTTTCACCACATCCTATGTAGACCTCCACATTCATTGGTCTGTAGGCGCAATGAGGGGATGATTGCAGATGATTAAAAGTGATATGTAGAAGAGTCGCCTAAAAGCCTACAATGTTTCAGAATCTATGCGGAGTTTGCTCAGACACAACTCAAGAAAAGGATCCATATAGGGGATAGGAGATTATTGGTATTAGGGGTGGCATAATGGGTAATTTATATGGGTATTTACTCATATTTACCCATTTTAAATGGATTGTGTGCCCAACTCATTTAAAATGGATAAAAACGAATAATACTCATATTACCCATTTAAAAGTGGGTAGTTAAATGGGTACAAGATGTTCATTCATAAAAGAAAGAGAAGTGGTTGGGAATTTTTTTTTAAATTTAATTTTTCTTACATTTTTTTGGAATGGAGGGGGGGGGGGGGTGCTGGTACGGGGTGGGATGATAAAAAAACTTTTAAAAGATTTTTTTTTTAAAGCTTTTAACAAGATTCCTACTATAATATGGGTACCCATATTTACCCATGTTATCCATTGGGTAACTCGTTTTTATTCATTTAAAATATGAATCGAGTCGAGTACTTTATCCATTTTTCTTTAACTCGTTTTCGATCAGCTCATATTCGACCCGATCCACTCGTTTGCCACTCCTAGTTGGTATTAAGGTTCAGTTGTGTACTTGTGTTTGGATTTACCTTGGAGTCGGTGTTTGCTAGGAGTCCTTTTATTATGGTTAGAAACTTTATGTCAATGTAGGAACAATTGGGTCACGACTCAAGACTACACCCTAGTCGTAACATGGTGCTTAGAGCCACAAATGACCCCAAGCTAACCTCATGGTCTGGCCTGACACTAAGATTAACGTAACAACAACTGAAGATAACTGATATTTCTAATGCGGAAGCTAAAACTGAAAGAGTCTTATAACTTTGATAGACAAATATTTGATAAACATAAGCTGAGTCTAGATCGACTGTCTGAAAACCTCTACTAAACGGGTTGCTAGGACAAGTCCCTAGCTAATTCTAAATGTCTAAAACTAAAATAACATATATGGAATGAAATGTAAGGGATGTCCTCGAAGGATGAGGACTCACCAAAATACTACTAAGCTGATCTGGAGTCATACTAACCACAGCCTGAGTGCTGAACGTCCGAACCTATATTGTCAAATAATATAGGCAAAAGGTATGCGGTCAATACTTTAAATGTAACATGATAAATATAAATATTGAACATGCTGAACTGAAGAGACATACTGATACATTGACCAAGTAAATAACATGAAATCTGATAATATGTTGTACTCAAATAACTGAATGCTTGGTCATACAATAAATGAAGGACTGACTGTGGGAGGTACTGCTAAGCGATTTATAACCATGTGAGCTACTATATGAAGTTTGATGTATAATCCCCATCAAAAGGGTCCAATATACTTTTTTTTTTGATAAAGGTAACATTTGTATATCAATCATCAGCTCAAAGCTGGTATCCAAAAATTTACATCATATCCTCCCTCCACACATGTGTGTCGGGCATAAACAAAAGATAAAGAAAAGAAAGAAGAAAAAAGAGAACTATCCCTAGATCCTCCTTTCACCTTTATAAGGACCCTAGAATATCTACAATAGCCACAGGGTCATCTATATACTCTGAACTACACCAATAGCAAAAAGTGATAATGCAGTTCATTTTAATCTTGTGCAGAGGGGTGCTCTTGTTATCCAAATTCCTAGAATTCCTTTCTTTCCATATGGTCCACCAAATAATAGCTGGGACAATTTTCCATCTACTCTTGTCTGTGCTGCCACTGCCCTCCATATTCCAGCTTTCTAGAGCCTGTCCTGTTCTCCCTGGAACAGTCCAACCTATACCTCTGAAGCTATTATACCTCTGAAGCTAGTAAACAAATTCCACAGCTGGCCAACCACTTTACAATGTAAGAATAGATGATTAATTGTATCAGCAACCTGCTCACGAAAACAACATCTTGGGCACATTTGTATTCCCCTCTTCATAAGATTCTCTTGTGTAAGTACAGCCTCTTTCACCACCAACCAAGTAAAAACTACCACTTTATATGGTATTTTAACCTTCCATATAAGCTTCCAAGGCAGAAAGTTAACTTGGGATCCCATCTGATTCATATTTCTATATGCAGAACGAACAGTGAATAAACCTTTATTATGACATTTCCATTTAAGAGTGTCTTCTCCTTACTTGAATCCTAAGAACTGCTTAAGTGTTCCATAAAATTCAACCAATCTTTCCACCTCCCAGTCTTGCATCAGTCTTCTGTAGGTAAGGTTCCATCCATGTTTAGACCAAACTTCATAAAGAGTCGACTGTTGTTGTTGGTTCAGGTGATGAATATCTGGGAACAAGCGTTTGAGGCTTCCATTCCCTAACCAGTTACTTTCCCAAAACCTGATCTTCCTCCCATTGTTCACATTACATTCAGTTTTTGCATAGAAACATGCCATAAGTTTCTAATTGATCTCCACAAACTGGTTCCATATGTGGATGCCACTTCCTTAGTCTTCCAAGGTCCTTCCTTCCCATAATTGGCCTGGATCACCCTACCCCACAAAGATTGTTCTTCTAAAGGAAATCTCCACAACCACTTCATGAGAAGACTTTTGTTCTGCTTCCTAAGATTTTTGATTGCCAGTCCTCCCTGCTTCTTTGGATAGTAGCAGTGTCTTCCATTCGACTAGGTGGAAACCTTTATATTCCTTCTCACCGTGCCACAAAAAATTCCTTCTCAGAGGATCAATTCTTTCTTCCACCTTTGCTGGAAGGGGAAAAACTGACATTAAGTAACAGAGTTAATCAGCACTAATCTACCACCTCTTGATAAATATTGAGACTTCCACCTAGACAATCTTTTCTCACATCTTTCCACTACTCCATTCCATATCTCTTTGGATTTGCTATTGGCACCCAAAGGCATACCCAAGTATGTTGGTGGTAACTGTCCTATTTCTACACCCAAAACATCCACCAGATTTTGTATTCTAGGCATGACATTGATTGGAAAGATGTGACTCTTTCTCCAATTAATGTGCAACCCTTATACTGACTCAAATAGTATGAGAACTATCCTCAAAATTTTTAGTTGGCTGTCTTCTGCATCACAAAAAATCAAAGTGTCATCTGCATATTGCAGATGGGTGATTTCCAATCTAGTATTCACCTCTTTGACCACATTAAAACCCCTTATCCAATCATTCCTATGCGCTGTTTTAATCATATTGTTCAGGCCTTCCATGACTAGCAAAAATAAGAAAGGTGAGAGTGGATCACCTTGTCTCAAGCCTCTGCTTGCCGGAAAGAAACCTTCAGGAGAACCATTTATTAGTATTGAGAACTTGACAGTGCTAATGCAGAACCTTATCCATCTTATCCACTTCCTCCCAAAACCCATACTATGTAGAATTCCAAGCAAATACTCCCAGTTAACATGGTCATATGCCTTCTCTATGTCCAGTTTATACATTATGCCTGGGATTTTATCCTTCACTCTTGAGTCAAGACATTCATTTGCAATGAGAACAGCATCAGTGATCTGTCTTCCTTTCAGAAAGGCCATTTGTTGAGAGTCAACCAGCTTTGGCATCACCTTCTTTAGCCTTTCTGTAAGAATTTTGGAAATCTGAAGTTTCTTTGGGACTCAATGGGTCAGAGGATACCCATTGATGAAATCCCGCATACCTGGAGTGCTTGAATTCTTGAATGGAGACTTGAAGCTTTGGAACTCTAGTTCTTGCTTGAGAGGAACTTTGAAAGAGAGGAGATCTGTTTTTCTTGGGACTCGTGCGAGAGGGGATGTTTTGGATGATAAAAATTCCTTAATCCCACTTAGAATGGGTTAAAACGACATAGTATCGGGATTAAAAGAGTGAAAAAAGACCAAAATGACCCTGATTTAAAAACTGTCGGCAGGTTCCACGAGGGGGCATCTACGGTCTGTGGTTTCATCTACAGACCATAGAACCCCGTTCGTAGAAATTAGAGGGAATTTCTGATGTTTTACGGACCAATCTACAGTTGGTAAAACATTCTACGACCCGTAAACCAGGCTCTTCCTGTTTAGGCTGAATTGCCAAGTTTCTGAACTTGATCTACTGATCAAGTCTGCGACCGTAAAATAGTGTTTATGAAACGTAAACTTAACTCGAAGATCTCAGACTATTTTTCCTGTTTCTGAAGTTGGTCTACGACTACCATCTATGGTCCATAGTTTCTTTTGCGGCCCGTAGATGGAGCCTCATAAAACACAGAATTTCTGCAGACTTGGAATTTTTTGTTGGCTTCTCTTGACCTGATCTGAGCTAGGAATGTCTGAGGTGTTACAAAGTGCGAGTTTAGAGAACCTCTAGTTTTTAAGTTTGCTCGACAAGACACATTATATAGTGTTCGACTTGTTTGGCCTTGAAAAGATTTCATTGATTAAATAAGATTCATCTTGCTGACCCCAACTTTATTTGACGTTGGGTTATATTTTCTTATTTGAGACTTGGGAGGTGTGCAATCTCAGTTACCTTGTAAGGCCATTTGGGTTGACAAAAGGATATCGAGAAGGTTTAGTGATTGGAAGGTTTGGTTTTCATATTACTTTCTTGAGGACCCCAAGGGATGTAGGTTGAGGAAGTGATGCACCCTTTCTATGTGACAGGTAGAAAAACACAAAAAAGTGTTCGGTAGTGAATTCTCTGAAATTTATTTTGTCACAAGATACCATTTCGACTTATATTTAGTAAACAGATGTAGTACAGCGATACTTACTCCTGCTAAGGATTACCTTAGCTTCGACTGAGGCTTACTGCTTATGAAACAAAGTTAATTGGATGTGCTGTTCATTAGCTGCCTCCTGAGTCAGTGAGGTCAGCCTAGCACAGGGTGACCGTATTATAACAGATTAGTCACTTTTGTTGTTCTCAATCTTGTTCTGTATTGAAATGCATATTTCTTACTAGAATTTTTTTGTATGCCTATCTAGATTTAAACACATGGCTGTCACTTAATGCAGGGAGAAAGAGATGTCTTGGCTCTTCTTTCGAGACTGGATTTGGGAAATGTCAATTTTGTGGAATCTCCTCCAGGTATGTTGATTTTGGTATCACATGTGAAAGGTTGATAAACCCTACCGTGGGTTAGAGCATTCTAGTTTAATGTTTGTTTCCTTGTAGTGTTATCTTAATATGAGATGAATTGCAGGAGATGCGAATCAGTCTGTCCACATTGTTGCGGGTGAAGGTCTGGAAGCTTATCTTCCTCTATCAGATATGGTGGACATCTCTGCTGAAGTGCAGCGTCTCTCTAAGCGCCTTGTCAAGTTGCAAGCGGAATATGATGGACTGATGGCTCGTTTGAGTTCTCCAAGTGTGAGTTCTCTATTTGCTGGATAAAATTAATTGAACGCCAAACATAAAATTACATCAGAACGCCAAACATTTCTCAGAAAAAAAACATTCTCCTTGACTGTCAATACAGCATATAGTTAAAATCTAACAATATTATGTCCTGCTTCTCCATTTCCATTTTTCCATGTCGTGGACCTTATAGAGTTCCTATGTGCAGTTTGTAGAGAAAGCTCCTGAGGATATTGTTCGTGGTGTCCGAGAAAAAGCAGCAGAGGCAGAAGAGAAGTTAACTCTAACTAGAAACCGCCATAATTTCCTCAAGTCAAAAGTTTTGATTGCGAATTAGTTTCATTCCAACGATCCTCATCACCACTTTCCATAATTCAACCAACTAGAGGTTAACTAAACTACATTCTCTGTTTTTGGCACGATATCAAGATGAATAGCCTCTTGTACGAGAACTAGATGGTGCAGATCATCTAATTGCATTTCTCTAAGGCTATTTCCTTCATCTTTCTGCAGCTCGATCGCAGTTCCATCAAAAGAGTCTGGTTTACTTATTCTGTGGGTGTTCTTCATCACTCTTTGAGCAATGCCACGAAAAAAAGAAGAAGAAGAAGCATCAAATGGTGGTGGCAGAAGTAAAATTTGCGTTGAGAAAATAATAATCAAGACAGGAGCCTCTCCATTACTATTCTGTCCATTACTTTACAATTATGCAGTGGATGTCGGCCAAATGTACAAATGAATATTAGAGGCTAGGATCATTTTTCTTGATACTTCTGCAAAAATACTTTATTTATTAATTTATTGTTACACTAAATAATATTTTTGAAATCTAAGGTGGATTATATTTTGTAAAAATTACACAAATTTCATAGTGTTAAAAGCTAATTACATCATATCCGCACTCTTTTCCAAATTACAAAATCTCTTGAAATTTAAGAATTTCAAATACATCACTCATCGTACGGATACGTTACGTTTGTTGATACAAGACACACTTGTCTCGATACATTGCTCAATGTAAAGATACATTACCTTTGTTGATACAAAACACACCTATTTGATACATCATGTCTTGATACATCGTGTAAGAGTGATGTATCTGATAATAGGAGAGAAAATGAGAAAATAGAGATTTTTGTAATTTTTTCAAATGATAGGGAATTTTAGAGAATATGATAAAAATAAGTTGTGTTTAGGTAATTTTTCCTTATTTTATTTTAACTGTGACGCTTGAATCGTTATGTTAACAGTCCATTTTTTTTATTTTTTTCAAAGTTGTATATGTTTTTTTTAAAAAAAAATTTATGTGAAGTTGTGAACAACGAAATCAATTTCGAGAATCCAGAAATTTCACGTATTTTGTTTATGTTTACTTTTTAGAATAATTTAAAAATGTTAACTAAATATTCCGAAAGAGTATTAATAGATATAATACTTTGGATTTAATATTATTTAGTATAAGAATTTTATTTTTTGAATAATTAATTACAGGAAAAATGATCTTGATATGTCATATTCATTCATTAATAGATATAATAATTTGGATATAACATTATTTAGTATAAGATCCTTTCTCAACTTTACCTATTGATTACCTAACAAGAACGACATATTATTATATTTACTAATAATTTAATTTTAAAATGTTTATTTACTCTTAATGAGATAATTTATAATTACGCAAACATCTACGACTTGTTTGGATCACAAGTTTTAAAATACTATTTTCTTAGTTAAATTCTGTATCAAGTCAAACAACATCACATAAACTAGGACCATGAAAATAATAATTTAAATTGATGAGTTGATATAAAGAAATAAATATACATGGTCATGAAAAATATAATTATTATATATTCATATACAAGTATCAGGCAAAATGACTCCTTTTTTAGTTCCTTGAATGTTGTTGCAAAATGATTTTGCTTTTTTGTTCATATAAGTGAGCTTTATGTCTTGTATCTGAATTCCTTGGCATGGATTGCTTGGGCTGCAGTCAAAGTTCATAGCAACTTCAGTTGTTGATGTCCCTTCTATATTTTTGTATATTACTTCACTAATCTTCACACCAGAAGTCTGAAAAATAACCACAAAAAATAAAATTTCATTAATTATTTCCTTTTATATGAAACAAAATCTTCGTTTTTACGTATAAGAGATTTATAAAGATCATTTTCTTATGTTCAATTTATAAGTGGCCAAGTAGTGGTGGAGCCAGGAATGTGGTGAAGAGTGTGCAAATTTTCTTCTCAATCATATTAAAAATGTGCAAAATTAAATATGCACTCATAGTAACTAATATTTAACCATTGTACGTCATATTATTTTCCGGCAAAGGGTGTGCACTGGACCACCCTTTGCCTAAGGTGGCTTTGCTCATGTTGCCAAAAGATCTCATTTCCTGTTCCGAATATTAGATATGAGGAATAACAACAAAACATACCCAATGAAATCCCTTAAGTGGGGTTTGAGGAGGGTAGAGCGTATGCAGACCTTACCACTACCTTGAGGAGGTAGGTGATTGTTTCCGATAAGATAACACAAATTAAAAATCATTCCTTTGATGATCAATACTTGCAAGGAGTAGAAAAAGCAAATTCTAGCTAAATCAAGAATTTCACGTCTATTTTGTAAAAACAATTGAGAATATGCTTTCCTTTCTTAACTTTGATCTATGTACATATATTGGTCTAAATCCTCTCTTCTACTTTTTGTATTTTCCTTTTTCTATTTTTAAAATTATAAATGTGAAAAATGCAAAAAATAATTTCCTTAAATATGATTCTGATTCAAGTGTTACCTGTTGTGGACAATCTTGGCTGTTTGGGCAATAATTCTGATCAATAATGATTGGATTATCGACGTACTTCATGACTATATTACGATAATTAATATTTTTGACAAAACTTGTGCTAGGTCTAGCCCAAGATTTAATTCTTAATCCATTATCAGATCCTGTGAATATAGAATAAGATAATGTCACATTTTGCACCCCATCTTCTTCATATTCCCTTCCTAGACTTCCAATGCTGCAACACAAACAACAAAATGTCACATATTTTTTTTTTAATGTCTAATTAAGTAGTATTATACCCTATATACTTTGATAAGCAACTTTTGTAGTGTACATATATTGAATGTACTGACCTTTTTTATAAAAATAAAAAAATAAATTTTGGGGTGGAGAAAGAAGAAATTAATGGGGAGGAAATTATAATGTGTAGAAATCGAACCCTCACCAACAAGCTGATAGTTCAGGTAGCCAAGCTACTAAGATTTCCCATTGAATGTACTGACTTTACTTATGTCTAATTGATTTTGGGTGAAACTACAAAAATGAACTATGAATTATTTCCCTTGTTCACGTTTACTTGTCCACTGTGAATAAATGAAGTATTTATTGGAGAATCTTAGTAGTTCATTTGGTTGACTATCTGAACTCCCACCTTATTGGTGAAGGTTTGATTTCCGCATATTATAATCTTCTCCCCATTAATATTCCCTTCTCCGACCCCCAAATAAAAAAAAATGAAGTAATTTGTTTTACCATCATACCCATGTACATGTTAATTGGTTATAGTCTTAGATATTAGTAAATGATATGAAGAATAAGTAACTAATGTTAAGGATATCATATGAAAATAATAGTATTTTTTTTCTTAATATGTTAAAAGTGACAAGTAAAAGTATATAAACATGCATTAGCTATAAAAAAAAATGCTTCCCTATTTAAAAAAAAAGAATTAAGTCCGCACATGAAGGAGGTATGCGTACAACATTATGATTTCTCTGACAATTTAACATTTTCGATGGGATGATCGCGCATATACTTAAATTTATACATATATTGTCAGATAGTTATAGCATTACTTACCTAATACCATGTCCAGGTCCACATAAAATTTTCTCCATCCAAAGATTTCTTGTACCAGGACCAATAGATATACAATCATCTCCAGTTTTGATTCTACAACCAATGATAGTAACATTTGTTGATGATTGAACATGAATGCCATCTGTGTTTGGGCTTTGGTCTGGGGCTATTATTTTTACATTTTTAACCATTACATTGTTGCAACTATTGATCACAAGGTGTGTTACCTGGCTGTTGATTGATAGTAAGCCACTTATCACAACATCATTAGCCCAATTGAAGGTTATAGACTGCACTTTACACACATATATAATTAGGACAATGTAATATTTCATATTTTACTACTTTACTTTACTAGTAATATAGAAGAATCTAGAATCAGACACCTTTCGTTGATAATATGCCTACTTCTAGTCGAGGGTATTTATGTAATTTCTATACTTTCACCGTTTTAATTATTGTTTTGGTAAATTTGAAAGTTATGTAAAAAATGTTATAAATTATGACAATTAACAACCTAAAATATTCAAAAACATGTAAAAAATTTGATTGACTTTCAAAATTCTATTGGTGCTAGGAAAAAAGAAGTAACATTATATATCATTTGAAAATGCTATAAAAAAGAACTATAAATCACTATAATTAATAACTTGAAATATTTGAAAGACATAAAAATTATGATTGTCTCTTGAAATTATATTTGCGCGTTGGAACATAAAGAGTAATATATATTATTTGAAAATAATGTAAAAAGTATTATAAACCACAATAATTAACTACTTAAAATAATTAAAAATCATATAAAAATTTGAATGACTCTCCAAATTTCAAATTTATCATATAAATTGAAACATATATAAAGAGGAGTACAATATGTATGTGTGCAGGTGTCTTTTATGTTCATTTCTAATGGTGTCAAATGCAGAAGGTTACATGAAAATGAAACTAGAAGAGGGAATTTTTGAGAATGAAAAAACCTTTAGTATTTTTTCTTTTAATTAAAACTACAACATGAAGGTTTATATCTCTTCTTCTACCATCCCCACACCTACAACTCCTAGTCCAAACAAAAAAGAATGCTTTTTCATGGATGGAAGATTATCAATAATGAAGAATAAGTTACTATTTTAATTTGTAATACTTTATCTGTTTCAATTTGTTTGTTTGATTTTAATTTGACACTAATTTAAAAAAAAATAAAAAAACCTTTTGAATCTTATAATTTTAAACTACATATATGCAAAATGTAACAAATTGTCTTTTAATTCTCATGTGAAAAGTTAAACTTAAAAAGTTGCCAAAAAAAGAAAAGAAAAGACACTTCTTTTGTAAATTAACAAAAAACAAAATAAAAAAAATTAAGCCAAACAAACTGAAACACAAGGAGTAGTTTAAGACTTTGACCTTTAAAAAAAAGTTGGTGATTTTTTCAATTTTAGAGCAAATAACTCCCCCACCCCCCCGCCCCCCCCCCCCCCCCCCCAAATCAATTTATTGTCACATTCATTCTCTTT